GCTAACCTATGATTGGGTCATTCGTGGGATTCTTAATCTGTATGTTTTCCTCTAGATCGCACAAAACGTTAAAAATCTCAGAATAGAATTTGTACTTGAAAGTTCTTCATGAGAACAATTTTTTGTTCGCTCGAAAGTTGTTTTTGAAGTTTCATAAAACGCACTCCGTGTTTTCCGAAAATAGAACATCCTTCCAGACAACATTTTGAACACTTTTAGTTACGGTTTCTTCGAAAAATTTCCGTTTCCTTTGGACTTAATGGCTCTTCTGCTAGCTTGCAATGCTATTTTTGTGGTATCGCAAGTGATGGGAAGCTCCGCTTCGCCTCTGTGTTTTAAATCTCATTTGAATTACATGTGGATTTGAATTACATCTGGATTTGAATTACATCTGGACAGAAGGTTTCTTATATGATGTATCACTCGACTCATGCGACGATTATTTATGGTATCTGATTTTGGGTGAAAAATAAAGTTTATCAAATCATGCCCAAAGACAGGGCTCTTCCCACTTTCAATGGTCGGAGCAAAAAAGTTACTCATCTAAAGAACTAATACGGTCACGGGGTTTGGCTGAAATGGCGCGTATATTAGTTTCAGGTTTGAGGCTAGAGCCTTAAGTTTTAGCTCGCCATGACCTGTGTTGTGTAAAAATGTCGGCAATTTTTGACAATTTAAGTATTTCTGTATTTCATATATTTCAAATATTTGACTAGACGGATCTACTTAAAAATCTCCCCCCTATGGTATCTACTTAGGAATCCTCCCCTATGAATAAGTACAGTAAATTAGCGCTAGAGCTTTATATTGAGAATTATAATTTTGCTGCATTCTGATTGGTCGAAAATTCGACAAAATAATCTACTTAAAAGGGGGAGATAGTTAAGTAGATCCGGCAAGAATTCCAATTTTTTGAAATAGTTTATTGATCGTTTTGATGTTCATTTCTCTCCTACCCCTCTGAGTGAAAAGTATATTGATATATTTTTTTTGCTTCTTGTCGAGATGACCTTGTTTTGCTATCATTAAGTGTTTAATTGAACTAGCAAGTATAAGATATATTTTTTGCTTCTTGTCGAGATGACCTTGTTTTGCTACATTAAGTGTTTAATTGAACTAGCAAAGTGCATAGCTATGGCATGGGACAGTTATGATGGTAGCAGTTTGCCTTGTAACTGATTAGCCATGTTTAAATAGTGGCATCGTGCCCGTTCAAGCATTGACTTAAATGACGTGCGGCCGACCCCGCATGTCAATCCATTGTCAGTGCTTTGTTCATTAAGTGATTGACAACTCTTTAATTTTCCGCATTTTACTGGCCAGCCACTTTAAGGAGTGGACTAGTTATGGTGTGGTTATTAAATATCATCCCTGATTGTAATGAATTATTCAGACCATAATAAACTGGATTTCAATAAGTGGAACTAATTGATCTGCTTAGCTGATTCAACCAATAACTAAATATAAGAGTTTTTCCATTCTATACTCATTTCACAAAAGGTGCGATTTTTCAGATTCATATCAATTTTCAAGAAATCTTGAAATCAAATCAGGGAAATATAATCTATTGACGATGAAAAGTGATTTCTCCAAACTACAAATTAACATAAATACGACGGAAATTCATTCAATTTTCCTATTTAAATCGGTTCCGTCAATTGTTTAGCTTTTTTCAATAGATCGGATCAAATATCTTGAGATTTTTGTCTCCCTAATAATGAAAAAATATCAGCTTTAAATCCAGTTTTTAATTGCTCCTAATGTAGTCCGGGTTGTAAAATTCACAATTTTGCTTCGTGTTTCAGGATTTGAATAAATTGAGTAATCTATGAGGCTAGAATGGATTTGAATCTTCTGCTCCTTGTTTGCGCTCAGTTTTAAAATTGATAGAACTTGTGGAATGAATAAAAAATGAACCGATTTATCTGGGCGGTTGTGTGATTGCCGTCGTGATCTTGGTCTACTTTGCACCTGACATGGTTTAAACTGACGTTAAACATCGTTTTAATCAAATTTCTAATGTTAAATATTCATCGCTCACTAATGGGCGCAAGACTCTGTTTGAGGCGCTCCAATAATAGGCGCTCAAATTGCATTTGGTTAAAATGATTGATTGTTGAATTTTTCATTAATTTTCTAAATGAAATTGTGCATCTATTAAATAAAATAATGTGCCTCTTCAGCGAATTGCGCAAATTTGATTGAGATTAAAAAAACGGCGACTGGAACTTAGTAATTATTCTTTTGTGAGCTTCGCAGCTTGATGAATAAAAATAACTGCAAACCATTAGCACCCCGCGCCTCGTTTTATTATTGCGAATTATGGCTAAAATGAGCGCCTTCAATTTCCTCGAGAGAAAGAGAGAGAAAGAATAAAATAAATGATTGCTTTCATTTGCTTCTCCCAAAATATTTAAGTAATAAACCTTTTTGTGGTCAATTTATTAGCGATCTCTCAAGAGACTTCATGTATATAAGAGTGCATTAAAAGATTCTAGTTTGATGGTTTTTGCTTGTTGAAACGCACTTGAGAAATAAAAGCGGAAAAATTGAGCCCCAAATGTTTCAAGTGTTTTATTGCGCAGGGCACTTGACAGTCAGTTTTCAGGGCGACATCCATTTAGAGCCGAGTATCCGTGTTTTTAAACCAATCATTCAATTCAAGTACTCTCCAGCCCCGTTTGATTTTTGAATTCCTCTTTTCCAAGCTACCCCCCCCCCATCTCCCCCAGCTTGAGCTACGCAGCAAACAGATCGGACAACCCAGCGCCTAGATTGATTTTATATATTTTTTAAATAATCAACGTAAAGTATCTGAAAAAAATTGAATGATGCTATTGGAGGAAATTACTTGAATAATTTAAATATTATACTGTTTTGCGGAATGGTTTTTCGATTTCAAAAAGAGAATATCAAAAATAGCCTCAAAAGGTAATTATTTGGAACAAAACATGTAGCTGACATTTTAAGTATTTTTATCCTGAAAGCGAGCTCGTTTATTATTTTATTTAATACAGTGCTGATTTAAATTAACCGGACAAAACGCGTTAAACTTGAAATTTAAAACGCATTTTTCTCAAATTGGGTTGAGTTTAGGTGAAAACTTATGAAAACAAAACTTGCTTAAAAATTTAGCAGAATTAATATGGTGTAATTTGTTTTGCGAAATTCGGGCCCAAAATTTTACCCCAGAAATGGGTCATTTTGGCTTTTCTTAGTTAATCAAAAATTACGCCAAAATTACCCAGTCGATCACAGACATAATTATATTAAAGTGAGCCCCTTACGTAGCTCAACAAACTTTAAGAAAGGTATTTTCTCCAAAAAAAATTTGCAAATTGTTTAAAAATTGTTTTCAAATAAAAAATTGGTATTTTATATAGTAAAAACGACCTTTTTTGTATATCAAACAAAAATAAATTAACTTACACAATATTTTGGAGAAAATATCCTTCATAAAATTTGTTGGGCTCATAAGGGGCTCACTTTGATATAATTATGTCTGTGATCGACTGGGTATTTTGGGCGTAATTTTTGATTAACTAAGAAAAGCCAAAATGACCCATTTTTGGGGTAAAATTTTGGGTCCGAATTTCGCAAAATAAATTACACCATATTAATTCTGCTAAATTTTTAAGCAAGTTTTGTCTTCATAAGTTTTCACCTAAACTCAACCCAATTTGAGAAAAAATGCGTTTTAAATTTCAAGTTTAACGCGTTTTGTCCGGTTAATTTAAATAAGCACTGTATTTAAGTATTAAACTTACGTCTGTGCAAGCAAGTGAAAAAACTTACTTGAAAAATTGTGAAGTTCTGCTTCGCCTCCGTTTTAAAAATTGTTACTTCGCCTGTAGAATGAGAAGAAATTTGATAATTTATTTTTAATTCAGGTTATTTATTAAAATTTGATCAATTTTTCCAAAAAATTTAATGTAGAGTAAGAACGCCCGGTTGCTCTGCAAGTATCACATATCGTTATGAACACATCTTTGGTTTGAACAAACTGAAAATTCTAAGATGTCGGAATTATTCTGCGAAACGTTGAAAGGAAAAACAATGTAGACTAGAAAAGCTAGTTATGCAAGCACAGAATTTTCCAAGAACAGTTCTCGATGACGGGAGAAATTTGGTTGTTTAGGCGTATATATTTAAATAAAATAACGCAGTGAGTTTCAAATTAGGTCGCGTTGGGTAGGAAAAAAATCTGAAAAATAAGTCCACGCTTAGTTTTTTAGTATGGCAGTTTGACTTTTGAAGGTCAGTTGAAATGGATTCACCAAATCAAAGGCTTATTACTCTTTCCAATAAAAAAGATGCAAATGGGAGTTTGTCTTAAAGTTTTTTCCCAGCGAATTATTTTTATCAAAAAATGTCAATCATTAAATATTCTCTAAACATCATCAGCCATAAAATGTTTAAATCTTATTTGAAAGTGAAGAAAATTAAAAAACAAGTGGTACTTTTTTGGCTCGCCCTTGATTTCATAACTTTTCCAACTGTCATTTGATTGTGCATAATCGGGTATCCCGAGATTGTTTTGTGTCAGTTAACTCATCTGCTGATCATTTAATATGCACATGAAAAATGTCAATGCTTTAGTACATTTCTCGTTAACTTAATGTCTTCGTCAAATCAAAATATGGAAATGTTTTAATATCCAGAAAAGTTTTTATCAACAAGGATATTTTAAAAAATGTTCCAAAAGGTAGTGTTTGAATTAATCGGCGCGTTGGGATAAAACACTCCAAACGGTCAAAAACTAAAAAAAAAAGTAACGGTTATAAAAACTAATGAAAACTAAAATAATTCTAGTGAAAAAATACGCTGAATTATCGCATAATGATGCTGCTATGTGACCATTGTATTGTTGGCTATGTGACAAAAGTATTGCGTGGTAACTTAAACCTCTTTCTATTCGATTTTAAAACGGGGCTAAAATAGATTTTTTTAAATTTATGAAACTATGAGTATTATAAAATTCATACATAAATTATCCCAGAAACTTTTTTATACAGATATTTTGAGAAGTCGTCCAATCTACTTTAAAAATTGTGATCAGTTTTGTTTTTCATTTAATCAACGGTTAATATCCGCTCAGTCCAATTTAGTTTAGTTGGCCGTTCCCACCCAGTAAAGCGACGAGGGCATGAAAGAGCCATGCATTGCCGACCAGTTATTCGAAGGGTTAGCCGCAGCCTGATTCAGTTTTCCCAGTGAACTTGCAGCCATTTGATTCGAAAGTGAGTGGCCCATTGAGTGTGGCACAATAAATCCTCCACTAGTTGCGATTGTGTTCGGGTATTTGGAGTGTAGGTTTGTGACCACAGAGTTTGTGGCGTTTTTGCAGCTGGTAGCGGAGGGATCTGCTGTAGAGTTTGTGTTGGGGGCAGGAGTAGCAAAGAGTCTAGGTCCGCTTGCCGTGTAGTATTGTCCGGTTGATTGTTCGAGAATTTTGAACATGCTACAAGCTGCCAAAGTGTCCATGTCCGATTTTTTAGTGTCCTGCTCGCGCTGTTTTTCTCGCTTGTATTTCGTTCTTCGGTTTTGAAACCACACTTTCACCTAAACAATTTAAAAGTTTTTAAGAGTTTATCTATGGATGCAAAAAAAAACATCATTTCAGGATGAAAGGCTATTTTTGCTCTTATTTTTAATTATTCGTACATAATAAGTAGGACTTCTTCAAAAGGAAGTAATTTAGTTGGTTGTTTTTTAATTTTAAATACATTTAGTAACATCTGGTCAGGAAAGCTCTAAAGGCTCTCTGGCTTTATAACTTAATTTGAATAAACTCTGTTTTCATCTCTTCAAAATTCAATGGTTAATAGTATTTTATCAGGAAAAGTCCTTTGTTTGTAAATTCAAGTTGAATTTGTTTCGAGTAACAGATTTTATGAGTAGAATTGATAGATAAAATTTGAAAGTGGGAACATATTATCTGGACAAAGTGTATTTGAAGTGTGAGCTTGTAATTTTTAGTTAAATTTTGGGTCTCGTCTCAATGGAAAAATGTCCAAGCATGTTTTGTTAATTGCCAGAATGAAAAAAGTTGTCAACACAAGTTCAAAAATGGGTAATTTTACCTGTCAGATGTGATGATTGACAGGAAAAAATTGGTTATGAATAAAAAGAACAGTTGTTAGTGTGAAAACAAGACCGACTTTTCAGTGACATTTCTCCGCGTGAGGCTTTTGCAGTATTTTGATTCCAAGGAAATTTTTTGCAGTTTTGCCATTTTGAGGCACTTTGTTTTATTGCAAAGCAGCGGGAACCATTGCTTAAGTATTGCGAAAGTAAAAAGTAACGGCCTAGTTATTATCACTTTTAATTATTAAATAAATTACGAATGATGAGCAAAACAAGTGAGGTATAGCTTTTGATTGGTTGATCTTGCCGTTATTTTATCTACGATGGTTTTTAACTGATATCTTGTTATTTGGGATCTTGTTATTTGGGAGAATTTTTTTTGAACTACTTAATGGTCTCGAGTAAGGATAGGGCATGCGAATGTCCATATTGTTGTGCGATTTCGTTCTGATTGAGAAAATTCAGTTGTAAGCAAGTCCAATTTTGGCGAACTATCCTAAGCCTTTTTTTGGTATATTGTGATTTGACAAAATTTCTTGCTATTGAATACGTATTGCAATAGTGCTTAGTTCAACAACTTGAAGCTTTTGTGTTTTGTTCGTGCATGTCAAGTGTTTTTGTAATATTCGTGTAGCCTGATTTTTGCTGGCGCTACTGAATATGGTCGGAATTATCTGTGCTATATGACAGTAATACTCTTGTGTTTATTAAAATTATTGTTGTGCAACTGACCTGAGTCTCGGTGAGTCCCAGACAGGTTGCAAGTTGACCCCTGTCCCTGCCCACCATGTACTGGTTGAGTGAGAACTCCTTCTCCAGTCGGAACAACTGCTCAGGTGTGAACGAAGTCCTCTCCCTCTTCGGACGGTCCAAGTCTAGTCCACGCGGGAAGATCAACTCCTTAATCTGACCATTCGTGTCTAAAACAAAAACCCACGGATCATATACTGAACTGCCATTTGTCGTACGGAGCTGACTAGCTTGTATTTGTGAATTGGCTTGAGACTTACTTTTATATTAAAGCCGCATAGAATTATAACTTTTTGCCAGTTCAGACTCATAATTGCAAAACATTTGAGTCAAAACAAAAAAAAAGATTTCAATGATAGTCAACGTATCTCACCTTTTATAAGCATTCTTCTGGGCTCTGGCATGTTTTTGTCTTTCTCTTCTGATCCAGAGGTCGAGTTGAAACGCGTCAAGGAATCTTCATCTTCCTCCAGATCTTCAATTTCGTCGCCCAAATCAGAAAGAATCTCTTCGCGATTCATTGAAACCTTGCAATCGTTCTTGTCTGGAGTCACTTGTTCTTGTTCATGTTCGGACCAGGAGCCTGACATTGAAGTGCTTATATTAGGCGATGCCATTGTCATGTTAGCCGACTTGAGTCGTAAACTAGAAGTCAGTTCGGCAATTCCGGACGAGAACCGAGGAGGCGGATGAGGTGCACTGGGTAGGAATCCAGACTGGAAATGAGCAGCCGTGTAGAGTGAGTGGAACGCAGGGTTTAATAGACTAGAAGTTGCTGTGTACATCAAATTCGTAGCGCCAGGTCTGAAGTTCGAATCCGCAGTTGAGAGTGTTAGTGGGCTCAATTTTTCGGATCCGGCTGGAGAAATTTTTTCGTCGATCGCTGGAGAAATTTTATTGAGCTCCGCCAAATTTGGCTTGATTTCGGTTGTCTCAAAAGGTTTTGAAAGAAGGTTATCTATCGAAAACGCCGCCATTTGGGATTAGTTCGCAGAGAAGATTTTTATGCAAAGTTTTTGAAAAAGAAGTTTTTTTTTGTGATAGTTTATAAAAGGCTATTTAAAGATTAAATGATGGAGATTAGATGAGGAATCTCTTCTGGGGAAAAACTGCTAAGCAATTTCTTGGCTTCTGATTGGTTGAGACGGGAACGAAAGGGAAAAGGGAATTCTGAGTTGAATAATTGAAGTAGCAAATGAAATTAAAACTGTCTTTTTCATAGCTAAAAATGGGATATTGTTGAACAGTGTTTGTTCACGGGAAAAAAAAATAAGTTATGCAAATTGATAACAATTCATTAATTTATTATCAGCCTTTTTAAGAAAATAATGTTCTTTTTTGTGTCAATAGAAAGTCTTTTCAAAGAGTATCGTTTTTCCGAAATGGTGCTCCCTCTATTGTGCCCAGGTGTTAAACATCCTAACAACTCAAATGTGGAATAAAAACTCCAAAAAATGCCAGTCAGATTTTGCCAAAACAACGGACAAGGGGAAATTTTTGCTTTTGTTTTAAGAAAAATAATGCACCTTGTCAACATTGTTTTTGAACAGAATTCATTTGTTAGTTATTAACGTTCTAAAATAACCAGACCTCCTTAGATTGCGAGATATAGCTAATATATCTTCAATTTAGGACATTCTTGAAGGCGTATGATTTTTCGGAGTGCTGTTCAAAGCATACTTGTTCGTCGAAATGAGTTTTTTGGACACTCAATGTTGTGCAAAAAGTCAATATGTTCAAAAACGAGTTTTACTCGATTAGTTCCAAGTATTTTGGCCATATATATATAGGTATATATTTTTGTTCAGATTTGAAACCATTTCTCAGTCATGGTATGGATCATGCCTTAAAAAATATTTTGCTTACAATAGATATTCAACAAACGATTGTTTTTAAGTGGAAACCTTCTCCTAAAAATAATTAAAAAAGCCCAGATAAGAGTCATGAACGTAGATTCAGACTCTTGTATAGGTTCTGATGATTTTTTTTTTTTCGTTTCTTTTTCAAGAAGTCTAAATTTTGTGCAGGGTCGAATTTACTTTTTCGCAGTTTGACTTCAGTTTTCCCCAGCGAAATTAGAAATTTATTCTGTTTGCTCAAATTGGGTTAATTATATCTGAAAAGTGTCAATCATAAATTGTTTTAGAAATTCAAAGAGCTTTATGGCCATCTCTTTTTTTTTGGGAAATTGAAAGTTCAGTTTTTTTGTTTTCTTGCCTTCATTGACTATTTTACAAATGTCTGTTGGCCGTTGTTTTACTTGCGTTTATGATTCCTTTCTAACTAGTATGAAGAAGTTCGCAAATATAGAACAAGGATAACCGGTTACTGTGCAAGTAGCACAGAATGTTCCGACCAGTCTTATGAAATTACTTACAACAAAATTATTTTTCCAATTAGTGTCGTTTTTTCGGCTTGGTGTGATAAAGGAATCTGAGCGAAAAAGTAGAGCTTAGGCGTATTCGTCAGTCATGTAAAATATGCTAATTGGAAAACAGTTTTTCAAGACAAATAACAAGAAAAACAATAAAAAAAATCAAAATTTTTTTTATAATTTTTTATTTATTTTAAGTTTTTGATTCCTGAGATGAAGCTAAAACTCCAAAAACTAATATAATTAGAGTAAAACTAATTTTTCAAGGCTTAAATTAAGCATAATTATTTCAAAAATCAAAAACTTCAAACCGATTTTTCTCGACACCGGGAAAACTTTTTTGAAATCATTTGATGTCGTTCGAATCACGACTGAAAGGGCTTTCATATATTATATCATTCAACCCTGTCTGATTATTATTTGTGGTAGCTGATTTTGTGTGTAAAACAAAAAGAAAATAAAACACACCCGGATACAAAGTTCCTCCCCATTTGCAATGGTCGGAACAAAAATTAGACCATCGAATTGCACCTAGCACATATTATTCCAATGTTCTCATTCCAAAAGATAAGTAAAATATTGTCCTTTCAACGAAAACAACGATTTTGTTTTTGTTCCGACTTTCGATACGAAAGTAACGGAATATTTGTGCTCGGGGTGGGTTTTTTTTTTCTTCAGACAATTTTCGACTTTTTAACTAGCCATTTTTGACGAAATTTTTTTATATCATTCGAAAGCCATTGTTGTCCTGAGCTTAAATTTGAAAAGATATTTCACCTGTGATCGTTTTTCGTAAAGTTATGAGGGTTTAAAGATTGCCTTTTTGGCCATTTTGACCAATTTGGGACAATTAACGCGCGATATAATTCGCGCTATTAACGCGTAAGCGGAGATTTAATCCGTCTTATAAATCGTTCCAAATTGGTTGAACGAAGCTTATTTGCCATAATTGATTTGTTACAAGGAACAGAATTTATCTTTTTGTACTTTATATGGCGTGTGGGGGGATGATTTTCATAAAAAATTTCGAATTTTAGAATTTTTTTTTTCATTTTGTTTTATTTCATTGAATTTAAAAAAAAAATTTAATTTAATTTTTCATGTTATTACTGCTGCTCCATAAACGGTACAAGGCAGTCGGAACATTCAGGGCTTCGCCCTGATACGAGCAGTCTTGTTTTTCTTGTTGCGACTTAACTCTCAGCTTCAAGCATTGGATATGTATAACTTAAAATCATGAAGGAGCTCTTAATAAAGTTCTGTCTTCTATTTTAGTTCCGACCATTGAAAATGGGGAGGAACTTTGTATTCGAGCGTGTTGTAGTTTTTTTCTTCTTTTTGCTTTTCACGTAAAATCAGCTACCGCAAAATATCATTGGACAGGGTTGAAATTTTTCCTATTGTCGAGAAAAACCGGTTTGAAATTTTTGATTTTTTTGTCTTCAATCAACCGAATAAAGGAAGCGAGCAGTCCTTTTTTTGTTTTTTTCTCGCTAAATCATCTATCACAAATAATCATTGGACTGGTTGAGTGATATACATATTAAAGCCTTTTCAGTCATGATTCGAACGTAATCAAGAAGTTTTACCGGTGTCGAGAAAAGCCGGTTTGAAATTTTTGATTTTTCGTCTAATTTCAAGTGAGTGAGCAGGCTTACATTAGCTTATTTATGCCTAATATAAGTAGTTAAAATTTATTTTTATTCTAATCAAGTTAGTTTTTGGAGTTTCCAGCATCATCTTGGGAATCAAACACTTCAAAAATTTGTGAAAAATTTTTGAAAATTTTTATAAGTTTTTTTAATAGTTTTCTCTTTTTCCTGTTATTTGTCTTCAAAAACTGTTTTCCAATTTGCATATTTTACATGACTGACGAAAATGCCTAATTATAATTTTTCGCTCATATTCTTTAATCACACCAAGCCGAAAAAACGACATTAATTGGAAAAATAATTTTGTTGTAATTCTTTAAGACCAGAACATTCTAGGCTACTTGCGCCGGTTATTCTTGTTTCATTTTTGTTCTCACTTTCGAAGGAAAGCGGAGTTTATATGCTCGGTTTGTTTTTTTTTTCATTCAGCCATTTTCGACCTTTTAACTAAGCGTTTTTGAAGCAATTTTATTTTAGCATCTGACGTTGTCAGGTCAAATAAAAGAAAAATTTTCACCTGTGATCTTTTTTGCAAAATTACGTTCTTGTAATACGCGTTAGAGCGGAGGTATAATGGGTTCCAAATTGAATTGAAGAATTTTTTTAGTATTCCATTTTAATGCATCCCTTCGTAGTTGACTTTCGAGTGTGGGGGGGGGGGGGGGGGGGAGAGAGAGAGAGAGAGAAATTGAAGAAAAAACCATTGTTTCCTTTTCGTTATTTCGTCATTATTTCAGCACAAAAACTTTTAATTGGCTTAAAGTGCAGTCGGAACAATCAGTTATGTCATATTAACGCTTGCGATAAGCAAACACTATCAATCTGGAATATAGAGTTTTAACAATAGCAGTTGAATCACTTGGTGATTTCTTTTCACTTCTCTTCTTTTCTCTTAACGTCTTCCAGGTTGCTTCCCCCTTAAACATTGAAACATTAGCTTTTGTGCCCTGAGATTGGAGTCGTGCCCGGGCCTCGGTTTTTCAGTATCAAGGAAATTGAAACCAAAATTCCAAGAAAAATGAGTTGTTGGTTTTTCGTTAGTTCGCTCAAGTTCTGCCGACCAAATTGCCACAATGCTTTTTGTTTGTGCTGTAGACGTTTCATTGTAATTGCAAGTGAAAGTGTTGCTCATTCTTCTTTCAGGAGGGACTTGAATGATTTTTAAAAAAAGCAAAAAAAATCTTCATGAACTCCTTTCTTTTTCGGTTCAGTTGGTGTCTGCTCAAAGATTTTCGGCTTAGTTGCCATATCACTGGTTTTTTTTTGCTGTGAGCATTTTTCATTTTAGTTGCAAGTGCTGTTCGTTTTAATTTCAAGGGGGACTTGAAATATTTTAAAAATAAACGAAAAAATTTTTTTTTCGGTTCAAAGTGGTTTCAGCTCAAATATTGTTGGCTTAGTTGCCACATCACTGATTTTTCTTGTGCTGTAAACAACTCTCATTGCAGTTGCAAGTGCAAGTGTTGTCCATTGTTGTTTAAGGTCGGAAATTGTTGTTGAGCCGAAAAAAATCATCTTTTTTGGATCAACAATGTCTGCTCAAATATTGTCGGATTTGTTTCTTTTGTTAAATTTTGTTCTGTTGTTGCTGATTTAAAATTCAAGTGTCTGGCATGTTTACCTGGAATGAGCTTCTTTTGAGACATATGAAAATTTATATGACCTAGTTTTTTTTTCAAAACTTTCCATATTTTCGGCCTTCTTGTTTTTTTATATGTTTGTTGTATCGCAAGTTATTCATTGTATTCACGTTCTCAAATGACTTTTTTTTACCTTAAACAACTGTTCTTGAACACAATTTCCGGATCTTCCCCTCTTGGCCCGGGAGAATTTTTTTCCGGGAGAAGTTGAGTTGTCTGACTTTTTGAGTTTTTCTAATTATTGTTCATTGGCCTAATTTCCAGTGGATTTTTTTGCATATTCAATTATTATTTTATAAATGATTCAGAATGTTTGTGACGTAAAAGTTTCAATAATTTTTAAGGACAATTTATGACTTTTTGTTTTCGGCTCAATGGGCGTGCACCCAAAAATTTTCTGCTTTTTGGCCACTCGTTAAATCGATTGTTTGGTAATATTTCTTGACTATTTTCTGAAAAGGGTTTTTTCATTTTTTCCAAAAAAATCATTTTTTAATTGAAATGTTTTTTCATTTTTTGAAATCTTTTTTTTTCGTCTTATTTCCCGCTTCGCCTCTGTGTTTCATCTTACAATACGTATTTTGCTGTTTATGGAACCTTAGAATATTCTTACAAATTACGATTCAAATTGAATCACGGGTGAAATGGCTTTAATTTGTTTTTTTTTCCTTTGGTCAACTTTGCCTTTAATGATCGTTTTTGTCGTCCCTTACCTCCTTGGTGAGTTAATCGGTTACTTTTAATGCCATTTTCATTTCGAGATACGAGTTTCCCACATCGCTCAGATATAGTGCACCTGCATAGGGCGAAAAATTCTGGCGTTCGAGTCCAGTTAGAGGCTGTTATTTTTTCTAATCGAAAATTTTCTGAGTGAAAAAGTTTAATAGTACGATCATTTAGCTGCTTTTTTTGTCTGCTTACTTGCCACCGCATGGTAATTTGTACTGATTCAATCTGTTTTTACTTTTTACTATATTTGAAAGTAATTTTGAATTGTTCTGGCAATGATTCAGGTAATCTAGTTTTTTCCTTCTGAATATCAGCCACACGTAAGCAATTTGTGCCACACGTTACCTCAAATCATGATTTTATCCATAATTCGCCTGGGTTATTCGCAGTTTTTTTTTATGTCAGCTAGTTTATCAAGCTACGTTTGTGTTTCATCGCAAGTGGTTCAAAACTCCGCTTTACCTGTGTTATGTTTTCTTTTTAAAAAAAAACATACATGGCTCATGGAATATAAATAAGTAAATAAATAAATCTATCTCAAAAGCATACTTTAATCTGCATTGTTTCATTTTGCGTCTTTCAGCAATGAAAACAGTGCTCGAAACATTATACTCAACTTGCATAGTAACCGGCCACCCTATGAAATGTCTAACTAAGAGTGGATCTTAATGGGAATTTAAAAAGGGTCTCGCGTATGTATGTATTGATATTCAAGCACGAGTGATTTTTTCTGGGCTCGTTTCTTGTTTAAAACTTTTTAGCTTAAGTTTTTTGAGCTCTCTGAGGAATCGTTTTGATTGGAGAAGTTTTCAGTTGTATAAATGGCGAACGGTGAAGGTGAAAATAGTGAGTTAAGTTGGAAGAGCAAAGCGGAGCTGTTGGAGAGGAAGTACCAGGAGCTGAAGGAGGAGTACAGCAATCTAGAACAGACTAGTAAAGAGGTCGAGAGTGAACTGGAGGACTTCACCAGGGTGCTGGAGGACCAGAACTCGAAACTCAACTCCGAGAACACCAGAATCAAAACCGACTTAGAAAAGCTACGACAGGTTCGTTTCTTACTGTTGCTGCTGTTGTTAATTCAAAAGCAAGGCAGCTCATTTTTGAATAGATTTAACTATAGATAAATTGAGAAATAACGATTTAGTGATAGATAAATCCAAGATAGTTAAATCGAAAATTCTGCTAATAGATTTAACATTCGGTTTAACTTTCTGTTTATCTACCTAAGAAAGAAAAAAGTATATCTCCGCATAATCTTCATTAGAAATAAATGATCTACTTCAATTGTTTACTTTTTAATTCAGATACGATTATGGAGAGGATAGCGAACAGACATGCTTGTCTAATGAGAATAGACATTAGTAATGTTTTTTTTTCGAAGTTAGAAGTAAAAAGCACTATAGTAGCAAAAATGTCATTCTTATTTGGCTGGCAAATAATTTTTAGAAAATTAAACATTAAAAGTTTGAAAATAAAAAAATATTCTGTTTTAAGCTTTTGAAAAGGATTTTCATTTCGTCGAAATTTTTTTCGAAAATTATTTCGTCGAAAACATTTTTCTCCAATAGTTATTAGCAAGCCTTTCTGAACTTTGTTAATGCGGTTATTTGACTTTGATTACTGTTTATCTTCACTTCATAATCATTTGCTAAATAAAGTCAAATAATTCTCTTCTATGACAAAAAAAGCAGGCGGCAAATAAAATAGAGCGTGAATTTTAGTTTCGAAAATATTTTTTCTTCAGATTTTTGATGGATTTTTTTCATCGAAAGTATCATGTTCTATTTCTGAATTTAGTACAAATGAACTCTTGCTGTGTTCATTCTGGGTGTTGGATTTTTGCATACCCTTCGGTTTCTAGATAGCTTGATCTATACGCGCTTGCTAAAGGTCATTCACCTTTCTTAAACTATCTTAGCGAGCTGAAGCGAGCGTAGTGTAATAGTACGACGATTCTTTTTCCCTCAACATAAGTGGCAAATATTGGTGCCATTTTTGGTGTTACTTTAACGGGTTTTTGATAAAATGTGCTTTGACGTTCGATGAGTAATAAGTTAAAACAGTTGATGCATTTTTATTTGATCAAATGAACCGATAAAGCTAATTGTTTCAAACCACATTACAATAGTAAAAACTTGAATTCATGAACTTTTCCACTCAATATATTCCGCAATTTTTTAAAATGCATAATTTATACAAAAAGTGGCTGCACGCTTTCCAATTGATGACGCAAAGTTAGTGTGGAGGCATTTAGCTTGTTAATTCCAAATTTAACTAGCAAAATTCTGTCTATTCGTATTAAATGTCGTTTTTGTTGCATCGCATTTGCAATTTATTTGCACGTGTAGCTGATTTAAGTGTTTGTGGTCAAGAGGGCAGTGTGTAAGACTCCTAATCTCGAGGTCGCAGGTTCGAATATGATACGTAGCAAAGTTTTTCTAATTCGAGGCTTATTTCTAATTTTTCTTATTTCACTTTCACATTATAAAGCTGCTTTTCTGTCGTGGTCTTGCAAGTTTTGGCAAAGCCGAGCTTGGCCTCTGTAAAAATGATTGAAGAAAGTTCAACTTTTGCCAGAAGTAAGTTCGGAAGGAGCAGTAAGCAGTTGACTAAAAGAAGTGGTTTGTTATTCCGGTTCGAATTGTATAGTCACCAGAAGGCGCTGATTTTAGCATTTCCAAAAAATTTTCACGTCGATGCAAATTGCAACTAAACTTGTGTTTACTTGTAAAGCAAAGTATACTTTTTTGTACTACCGGTTTGTTTTTTAGCAGAGGTTGTTAGTTTTTAGTTGAGTGGGCCTGAAAAAAACTGGCCTGAATATTTTTGGTTTTCAGACCAATTTATTTTTTTCAGGGTGTGTTTTAGTTTTTAGTTTATTTTTACTTTTTGTTTTCCACGCAAAATCAGGTACCACAAAATGGTTCGAATGGGGCAAGGTACATATCCTTTAAAGCCTTTGAATCTTGAGTCGATCGGCATGAAAAAACCTTTCAAAGATTTGTTTTTAAATTTGGAGCAAGCACAGCCAGCGAATGTTACGGGAAATCACTACTAAGCTGTGTTTGAAGTGAAGACGCTTTTTTAGGCTATATCTATTTTGCGCAGCTTGCATGGTGTATTAGTATGAACCTTCTTTTTTTCTAACCGAACTCGCAGTTAAAAGCGTTCACTTATTCTGTGTCGTTTTTGCTATAATCACGTTCTGTAGCTTTGGAAATTGATAGCAGCTGTTCTCTAATTTTTTTGTGGCTAGTGATTGTGATCTACTAAGTGTCCCTGGCTGAGTGGTTAGTGCGTGAGACTCATAATCTCTAAGTCCCAGATGAAATTCGAGACGTAGCAGAGTTCTTAATAATTCGTGGCTTATTTCTGCTTTTCTTTATTGCACTCTATAGAGCTACTTTTTGTCGTGTCCTAGCTTATGTTTGCGAAGCGAAACTTTGTCTCTGTGTTTATTTATAAGTTTTAAGAATAAAAAATCTCCTATTGATACAGTTTTATCAAATTGGGTAAGTTTCCTCAATCTCGTGTCAATCATTTTTTATTTTCGAAATCAGAGCTTAAGTGCATATTTTTTCTTTGAAATTCGACAAATGATTTTTTTTCAAGAAGCAAATTAGTATGTTTTTCTCTTTCTTTGCGTTGAATCAAAAGTTTTTCTATAAAAGTCAGTTTTTTTCTGTTTCCTTTCTCTCTTTATAACGTTCTCGGAGAGAAAGAGAAAAAAAATGTGGTCAAAACTTAGTGCGATACTTCTGTGCTACTCTTGTTGTTCAGACCAATGAAATTGTGGAGGAACTTTTGTCTTCAGGTGGGTTTTTGTTTTTGTTTTGTTTTCCACACATTCAGGTACCCGAAATTTAAACACTTTTCCTTGCGAGAAACTAGACTTGCAATCGGAAACTTGACTGTTTCTCGTGAACAATTTTTAAAATTCTGCCATCATGCTCAATTCTGACACAAATAAAAATAAATTTTAGTTCATGTGGGCTAGTAACTAATTTCATATTAAATTTGTTTTGATATGTTGACCTTTTTTCGGATTTGTGGTTTTCGTCCTAATTTATGTCGGCTGATTTTTTCAAATGCAATTTGTTTTATCGGGTAAGCTTTTCAAGTAGTTTTTTTTTCAAATCTGGAATTGTTTTAAGTTTTGATTCAAACACTTTTTACTTCGAATGAAAGTTGCGCTGTAGTTAGTAAAATAACTAACTCTGATTTTTAATAATTTTATATATATTTTTGTTGTTCGGTGAAACGGGTGCGTTATGTGTTATATCGGTTTAGTCAACTTGTATTGCGCAGTTTTAAGGGCAAGTTGTTTCAAATGCTTTTGCTTGTTTCGGAGGGATGCGTCTTATAAAATTCTTCTTATAAAATTGCGTTCTTATAAAATTTATGAAAAAAGTGTTTTTTTATTCCTTTTTTGAAGACTACTGTTGTCTTTTATGTTTGTCTCACAAATATTCTACGCGTTTGTATAATTTTATATCAGACCCTGCGCAAAAATGACGCTAATTTTAAGAGAAAATTTGTTATGATTGTGGTCGGAACATTTGCTACTTGCACAGCAACCGAAAATAAGATTTTAAACAATATTTTGCTCCCCAGGCTAGATTTTAAGTCAGATTCTAGTGAAAAAAAATTAAGTACAAGTAGTGAGAAAAGTCCTAAGTACAAGTAGTTGTCATTGTTTTAAAATGCCGACTTTATGCGATGGACTAGATTTGAAAATTCGCACTGACAACGAGAATAGTTTTTCAAATCTAGACAGTTTATCATTCTGTTTTTTCTTGAGAGTCTTGTAAAAATTGAATACATTTCGCAGTAACCTGACATTGGTATGTTTTTTGTTCTGTAGAGGTACGGTGAGGTGCAGAAGGAGAACAATGAGCTGATAGGGATACGAGACAGACAGGAGGTGAAATTGGGGGAGCTGGGAGAGAGGGTGCGGCATCTGGAGAATGAGAACGACTCCCTCATCCAATCAGAGAGGAGGGCCAATTACACCATAGAAACACTCAGAGACGGTTAGTCAAGTCGGCTAATTGTGAATGCTGCCACGTGATGGCTAGCAGGAAAAAAAAGAGTAGTATTTGCATTTTATAGTAGTATTAGAGTAGTATATTTACTTGCTTCAGTTTACGAACAATTTTTCTCAAAAGTCTGCTAGAAACATGTGCAGTTTCTGATTCGTACAAATGTATGGCGATATGCTCAATTTCGTGCGTGAAAATTTAATTATCATGACCAAAGCAAGTTTTTGAATGAAACCCCCTATTGAAAAAATTGTCGCTTTCGGATTCGTTGTTTCAATTTTTGTTCCTTGATTTAAGTGAATGCTGACCCGGAGTTGTCGTACTCCAATCAGAGTTGTTGAATGCTAGATATTTGTGTTTTCAGAACTAGAATCGCACCTCCTCAGGCTGTGTTCTTTGGAAGAGGAAGTGATCCAGAAGGACCAGTTGTCGGAGGCACTGCAGAGGATGAAAGACGAGTTCAGAGATATGGAACAAGAGATTAAAGTGCAGAAACTGAAGAGCAGTGCTTCTGCCTCCATCCTCGATGCCTCAACAAACAACAACAACACTTCGCAACACCTTTCCAACAACACAACAGCAGCATCACATGTGAAACAGGACTCAACACTGTCAAATGGAAGTATCCACAATAACAACACCATCAACAATAACAATACAATCATGAATGGAGTCAAGAAAGAGTCTTCGGAACATAATGGAGTGTCGACAACTCCGAGCACGTTACCTCGCAGCAGGATGGGTTCTGTCAGCATCAAGACGGAGCCCACAACTCCACTAGGGGGTTCCAATCTCCAAATGTACCAGTTCCCACCCCGTGCAGGCAATACAACCAGCAGTGCATTAAGTACGAACGGCGTGTACTCAAGTAAGTTAAAATTTTGTTTGAACGAGCTGGTAGCAATATGACGTTTAGGTCGCTAGAAAAAAAACTAGAATGAAAGATAGATCCCGCATTAATATGAACAACGCCTTAATCATCATGGACCCGAGTTTTGCTTCAGGGTTCCTGAAAGCACCTTAATTTCCACATATCTAACGACCCTTTGTCCAGTTTGAGTTTCTAGATTAGTTAGAGTATCTATGATTGGGAATTGTGATTTAAAGTTTAGATGCAAATTTGTATTCTTTGGCAGATTGTTTTTGAAACTAGACAAATGTATTCAATTATACAAGGAAAGCTAGATATATTTTTTCTAACTCATGGCATATTTGTTGCGTGTTTTCGTCTTTGAATCTTTCATCGATTATTTTGAAGGGTGTTAGGTACAAGTTTTTCTATTTCAGCAAATCACGAAAAAGGAGACTTAGCTCAGCAGCAGCCACCGACAGCTAAAGTGCACCCTATCAAGAAGTCCATGAACCAAACACACCATCACTCTCAACAGGGTCAAAGTATGTCCATGCGTCACTCGTCCAGATCTCAGGCACTGCAAATAGTCAGCGACCTTCTGCGGAAAGTGTCCAACCTAGAAAGCAAGCTGGAGTCATGTAGAATGTATTCTGTGGCCATTCCCACCGGGGCAACGAACACAAATAACGGACTTCAAACAATCGGCGATGGAATCAACCAATCTGATGCGGTTTCGGAGTTTGTTCACAGTACGGAAGGGGCCTCTTTAAACGATCAGATACGGTACTACTAGTCTATAAATGGCGTAGATTACAAATTAGTCCACAATTTACTCTCATCAGTTGCTATCGGTTTTAAATCGCTGCTTTACCAATTTCCTCGAAAAGTAGTATTACATATAATTGAAAGGAGTAAATTCAAGCTCTTTTAACTGCTAGATATTCTAAACTTTTGTGTTCTTTTTGGACCATTTTCCTTAAAAAATCAAAATCGGATCAGTTCGAAATTAAAAACAGTTAAAAAATTTTTACCTCATTCAAACGTCGATTGCAACTATTTAAATGTTAAGCTTGAATTTACCCCATATTAAAGTTGAACTCTTAGTTATGTAGTAATAATTGATTGAGGCTCATCTCTGTTGTACCTACCATTGTTCTATTTCTCACTAATTTCAGACGTTCTCAGGAATGAAAAGTTAGTAGCACTAATACTGATGTATGGCAGTGAATGAATTGTAATGAGCTCATCAATTGCAAGTCGTCGTCTCGTCTTCTCTTCTCTTTTCGCCTAATTTACTCCACTAATCTTTTAGAGGCTTTCGTCTTTATTTTTCAGCCAGTTTTCGCCTAATGATTTTGTTTGTTACATCATAGAGTAATTATGAGGTATCTTCGTTTTAATTATTTAAATTACAGATTAGAATATTTTTCATGAAATGTAATTCTTCTTCCGAGAAACTCAGCAGAAAGGAATATGTAAGAAAAGGGGATCGATTGTACAAGTAGAACAGTTTTTTCTGACGACAGTTATGGTCAGAACATCAAAAATTATAGTTAAGAGTCAAAAACGTCGCGAATACTCTTATATAGGTCTTGATATTTTTTTTTCAGGAATAAGTCTTGATTTTTCGGGGTTTGACTTTTGATTTCTTTTGAGTTCACTCCATTTATTTTGTTGAAAGGAAAGCAAAGTCCACTATCAAACAGCTTAAGTGTAAAGGTCACCAAAAACGTGATCTACTTCTATTTTCAAAAGTGGAATTTGATTTTCAGATTTCCCAGCCGAATAATTACCATTTGATTCAGTTTTCTCAAATTGGGACAATTTTACCATAGAAGTTTCAATAATAAGTTTCTAAGAGTTTCACGACCATAATGTTTATACTTTGAAATTCGAAAATTACAGTTTTTTCAATCATTGAGTTTTTTTTTTTTAATTTGTGTTAATGACTCTTTTCGAACTGTCTGTTGGCTATGTTTTGTGTCAATGTAGGAAGTTTATTCAACTTCAAGCTCTTTTTTCTATGGTGTAAAAAGGTATCCAGTATCAATTGTGCTAATATCACAGAAAACTGATTGATTTTGCAGAAACTGGGATTTTTTTTATTTCGCTTGCGATTAAGCACATCCGATTAACTACCTTTTCGGGTGAGCAACAAGTTAAACAAAATCATTTGACATCTCGGTTCTTATAAAATCAAAATCAAGGCGTTAATCCGCGTATATGGCGTTGAAGTAACGCACATGCCTGCAAAGACAAAAGTCCTTCCCGAACCTGTTGTTTCTTCTAAACGGAATTTTTCCTCGTGAAAAAATCATTGTCAGAATTTTGTATGGCCTCCCATTTTTTTTGTGTTGGAAGAAATTTGCCTGTGATATGAGCTTTTTTTGCTTATAGTTGATAATCACTTCAATGTATTCTAGTTTTGTGCAAGTAATTGCATTCCAGAATTTTTTGCCGAGTTTTTTGAGAGGTTTTGTAATTTCGCCTTTAAATCAATATTGTCGTCTCAAGTTTTGGAAATTTTAATTCTCCCTGATTGCAATAAATGGAAAAAGTTTGTGTGATGCAGTACTAAGGCATTGTACCGATTTTCCTCCTTCTCACAATTGTTTCATTCGCCCGGCTTGAGTTTGCCACATGAATTTTTATAAATCATAAGAGCGAGAGAATGGCTATTGAGAATCCTGATAAAATCCCCCATGCCATAATCATATCCCACTCTTTGAGAGCAGTCCAATAAGATATTTAATTCATAATAGATCTTCAAGTCAGATTATTAAAGTATTCAAACCGAATTGTGAATTAAAAATAATTTAATTTTCTCGATATGAGAGTTATAGTAGCTCTAAAATGCTTCTTGGATTTTTTATTCTTTAATTGTTTTTTATTCTACAATCAATATCTGAACTCACGATAACCAGAACAAACGGCTGCTGTGCAAAGAGTACAGAACGTCAGAAGAGTTCTTACAAAACAGTTTGAAAAAAATGGAGTTAAAATTAGTACTTCAAAAATAATATGAATTTTCACCTTTAACAATATAGAATGTTTTTTTTCTTAAATTAGGGTAGTTTTTGTGCGTGGTGTGATAAAAGGATCTGAAAAAGCCTAGAGCTTAAGCGTCTTCGACAGTCCTACTACAGTGGGCATATTTTATAACAGCTTTTTTGCCAAAAAATGACCAGAAATATTGAAAATTCAGAAACTCAAGTTTTTCTTTTTATGCAGAATTAGGCTTGAGGTTTTTCTTTCCGACAAAAGATTTCAATATGATATATCACTCGAACCAATCATATGAATATTTGTGTTACTCGATTTTGCATGAAATCAAGAAAAAACTAAAACACCCGAATACAAAGTTTTTACCCATTTTCAATGGACGGAACAATTTTTGAGTCACAATTTTTTCATTGTTGGAATGAGTAAGTTTAGTTCTGAATTGAAAATTTTCATGAGTTCTCTCCCCTGTGACAATCGTCCGAAGTTGTTAAATTTGACTTATAAAATTTTCTGGCTTATGTGATAGAAGCACATACTGTTCCTGCAAGTTAGTTCAATTAAAAAATGGTTCTCCTTTTTAGAGTTTCAATTTTTATATTTTGTGGATATAAGAAAGGGAATAATATTAAGTTTAAATGGCCTTGTCGGTGGAAGGTCAATGAATCGAGGTATCAGTAAACTAAAAATGGGCGGACTAGATCAGTACAAACGGCTGCTGTGCAAGTAGTACAGAATGTCAGAACAGTTGTTGCAAAAATCAGTCGAAAAAATTGATTTAAAATTAATACTGCCAAAAATAGTATGCATTTACGTTATTAGCAAGAAATACGGAATGTTTTTTTTTAATTAGTGAACTTCAGCATATTCGACAGTCATACTGAAATAGGTATGTTGCATAAAATTTTTCTTGTCAAAAAGTGACCAGAAAATATTTAATATCAGAAAGTTCAAGATTTTCATTGTATGCAGAGTTAGTCTTGAGGTTTTTCTTTGGGACAAAAAACTTAAATATGAAATATCACTCGACTTAATCATATGATTATTTTTGTTACTTGGTTTTGCATGAAATCAAGAAAAAGAAAAAACTAAAACACCCGAAACAAAGTTTCGACTCATTTTCAATGGTCGGAACAAGCAGTTGGTAATGTTTGAGTCAACATTTTTTCATCGGTGGAATGAGTAAATTTAGTCCTGAATTGAAAATTTTCATGAGTTGTCGCCCCTGCGAGAATCGTCTGAAGTTGTTAAACTGACTTATAAAATTTTTTGGCTTATGTGATAGTAGCAGAGACTGTTCCTGCATGTTAGTTCAATTACAAAATGTTTCTACTTTCTCGAGTTTCAATTTTTTGGTTTTGTGGATGTGGGACAGGGAATAAAATTAAATTAAGAAGAAAATCAAAATTGCCTTTTCGGTGGAAGTTCAATGAATCGAGGTATCAGTAAACTAAAAATGGGCGGACTGGATCAATAATTTGGAATTCCGCAGTTTTTGCATCTATCATTTATATAACCAAACAAATTGAATTCGCAAATATTGTTAGAAAGTCGTTTTACTTTCACAAAACTAATTTTAGAACAAAAAATGGAAATAAGACATTTTTTCATGATCCTAGCGAATTGCAATTTACTATAATAGCTTATGAAAGCGAAAATTTTTTGAAATAGCAGCTGTAATAATTATTACGTAATTCGGTTTACTGATAGGTAATTACTGATACACCGGTTCACTGAGCGGTAAATTACTGAGGCTTGGGCTTCAAGCAATGATTACAGCAATTGTTTTTGTATCGGTTACAGATATGAAAAGGTTAAAATGATGGAATAATAAATTGAGCAATTTTGAATGACTCAAAGTATCGTAGTGTCGATCGGACAGTGTGGCAACCAGATCGGGTCTCGCTTCTGGGATTTAGCCTTGAGAGAACATGCCACAATTAACCCGAAGAACAACTTTGACTCAGCCTATCAGAGTTTCTTCCGCAATGTGGACCCATCCTCACAACAGGTGTGTAGACTATTGAAAACTAGCCTCAAACTTCGTCCATATTATTTGAATCAACTCAGCCCTCCAACTGAATGATGATGTGAAAAATAGTGATTTCTAGTCCTATAGTCTTCCGAGTAGAAATTGAACTGATGCTGTATGTTGATATAGGACTTGGGCGTGGGTGGTAAAGTGAAGAGTCTGAAGGCGAGGGCTGTGATGATAGACATGGAGGAGCGAGTGATAAACTGTGTGATGCAAGGACCTCTGAGAGATTTATTCGAACACACGCAGACTGTCACTGATGTGTCTGGCTCAGGAAACAACTGGGCCGTAGGTGAGTTTAAGCTAGTCTACTCTCTTCAATTGATGATTGAATTTACAAAGAAGCTTAAGAACAGAAACTAATTGTGTAAGTGATATTCAAAAAAGCTATTGGGATTACGTCAGAACTCCAGAAGAAAACCATAAATCAGTTAGAAAGTTACCCACGGTTCGTTTTTCTTCCGGTTGTTTTTAGCTCAGGTACTCGACCTGCTCAAAACATTCCAAAAAGCTCGAAAACGGGTCAAGATGTTCTTTATCAGCTAATGAGCGCTCGAATAATCAGTTCGGTCAACTTAAATGGAAATCCTGGATCCGCCCCGCTATATAACAAAGCAAAGACTGGAACTCAAAGCTGGATGTAAAACACTTGCTTTTAAGTCTTTTTACCTGCTTTAAATAATAACGATTGCATGATCGGTGCTGAGATTAGAAGTTCTAAAAAATTCAAATAGTTTTTTGTTGCCTGGTACCTAGTTTTTGTAACTAGTTCTAAATTGAAGCTCATTATGCTTGGAAAACACAGCCGAATCGAAATTTACCAAAATGGTCGATACAATAAACATTAAAATTCCTATCCTCTGGTGTGATAATGTGGTTATGTTGTGTAGGTTTCTATGAGTATGGGAGCAGATATGAAGAGAGTATAGTAGAGGTGGTACGACAGGCCAGTGAGCACTGTGATGCTCTACAGTCCTTCTTTCTCCTCCACTCCATGGGAGGGGGCACCGGCTCAGGACTGGGCACTAGGGTACTCAACATCCTACATGAACACTTCCCAGACATATACAGGCTGGTAAACAACGCTCACTTATACATTTTCTTACAAGTCAATTGACAAGTTTTATCCCGACGACAAACTTTCATTTACGAGGCCAGTGGTGCGAAAAGCTATGTCACCGAAGTTCTTGTCGTACAGAAACTAATGGAATAATTGATAACTTACATTAGAACCGAATCAAATTTAATTTGTAAATTCAAATTGATTTATTGTTTTAGTTTAACAGAAACGGTTTGAGCTATAAATATTTGAAACTTCCTTGGAAAAAACCAAAGGATAAAAGTTATATCTTCCAAACAACGCAATATTAGGTGACTAAACGGATTTAATACAATCCGAAACTGAATAAACTTTTCAAGTGAAAAAAAAAGACTAAACAAAATCACTGCTGGTAAATATACAAATTACAGGAATATTTTGTCTATTTACCAACCTTGATTTTTATAATTTCGGTTTTTGTTTTTTGCTTGAAAATTTTGTTCGTTTTCGGGTTTTTCTTTAATCCGCTTAGTCACCTAGTGATTTGTTGTATGAAAACAAAGGTTTTCATTGGTATGTTACGAACATGTTACGAGGGAGTTTCTAAACTTTAAACTTCTCATGACAAAAGGTTTCTTTCCGGCTCAACTGGCGTCTACCGATTTTCTGTTTGTTTAGTTGACACTTGATTCTTATTGCGATAAGCAGTGGTATTGCAATCGGGTAATTGATTTTTTTCCAGCAAATATCTTTGTTCACATGGCTCATGTGGTTTCCAGTTAGTACCTTGGCTCATAACAAATTCAAGTTTCTAAGTGAGTCCTGTGAACTTAGCCTGGGGGTTAGATTACGCTTTGGACGGCAAAGGGATATTTTCTGTTTAAATTAAAATCGTCTGCCTAATATTTGTCGGCTTAGTTGCAACATCTAAGACTCGTTTGTTTTTACTGTAAAAAATTTCCATTGTAAGTGTTTTAGCATTTCAAAAATCCGACCAAATCGAATTTTGAATTTACATTGATTGTAATTTTACCATCTCGATTTGTTAATTATTCGTTTTATTTAAAAAAAATCGTCTACTGAGTACTCGGCTTCTCTCTATCCATCCGAAAGTTGCTTGTATAGTTTTCAATGGTCAATGGTACAGTATTTTTTCGGATAATTTGGGCCTTTTTGCAATTTTTAATATCAATAACGATTTTTTTTAATTTATTTTTTTTTCGTTTGATTTTAATTATAGCCTTTTTTTCCGATCGCAAGTTGTGCGAAGCTCTGCTTCGCCTCTCTCTGTGTAAATTTTTTGGTTGCTTAATTAATGCGAACTATACTTTTTTTTTCCTGAAAACAGCTTTTACAAATCTGTTTCCAACACGTGCAAGTGCTGAAATAAAGGTAATATGAAAGCATTGATTCGGCAACTTACTTCATGTAACATAATTACACTTGCGGGAGCAAGTATCTTGTAATCGTGAACAAGGCCTTTTTTCTCGTAAAGGATTTTAATTACATATCTGTAAGAAAATGAAAGTGTTTTGTTATTGAATTTTTCAGCTTCCAGGTTTTTTCCCACTTGGCCTAGAGGTAGCGCTCTTAACTTTGGCTTCGAATCCCGGCAGGACCTTGTTATTTTCAGCATGTTTGAAATTGAACATTTTTCTGGTAAAATTGAACTGTCGGACTTTCGTTGGTCTGCTGAAGTTTTGTCGGCTTAGTTATTACATCACGGATTTTGTATGTGCTATAAGCAACTTTCATTAAAATTGCAAGTGTTGTTCATTTTACTTTCAGTAGGGACGTGAAACTTGATTTTAAAAAAATCAATGTTTTTCGGCTCAACTGGTGGCTGCTTAAAGTTTTCTTGTAATTACAAGTGGAAATGTTGTTTTTTGTTGTTTCAGGGGACGAAGTTTTGTTCGGTTGCTAATTTAATATTCAATTGTCTTGCATGTTTGCCTAAAACGAATTTTTATTGAGGCATATGAAAATTTACGTGTGGCTAGACTTGGTTTTTTTAACATCTCAATTTCTTTTTTCGATTGTGATGCAAGTGATGCCAACCTCCACTTAGCCTCTGTATACTATTGTTTAATGCAAATTGATTGAAAAATTCACATTACCTCTAAAAATGTCTATTTTGCCCTATTTTTGTCGGCTTCCTTTCCTTTTGTTTGAATAATTGCTATCTGTAAGAAATTGAATTTACTTTTTTGAACCTCAGCAAATTGGAGGCTCCTTCCTATTGGTCTAGAGTTAACAGTGTTGCCTTTGCACCGTTTGATATGTATAAGGTCTTGCATCCTTCAGTCGTTATGAAATTAATTTTTTTTTTCAGAAAAAGCAATTTGCCGGAATTTTGTGTCTGTTTTTTTTTGGCTTTGTTTCCAAAGCATGAAGTTTTTTTTCTTACTCGAACAGTCAACAATCGTCAGTTTACGTGGTCTTCTATTCAACCAACTCGGATTCTGAATATTTTTTTCATTCAGCTTTTTTTGTGACATTTAAAGAGCAAAAAATAATTCAGGGCTGTTGTGTGTAAGTTACAACTTTTAAAAATGTTATCACCGAAAGTTTTTTGTGACTATAATTTTAATGAATTTTTTTTGCTTTCAGTTCAGTGTCTGTCTTTCGAAGTACTGTCAGCTTAGCGGCTGTTCGTTTACTGATACTAATGCTTATTTAATGCTGACGGTTATGTTTCCGAATTGAAGTTTTCATTTAGTCGAAAAAAGTTTCATTTTCATTTTTTTTGGTTTTAGTAATTTTTTTCTCTATTTCTATTCGCTAGCTTGATATGCTACGCTTGCGTTGTATTGTAAGTGGCGAGAAGCTCCGCTTTTTCTCCGTCGACATTTTTCATTCACATTTTTAGTTCGCATTTTTTCATTTTCTGAATCGACTCAATGACACGTCTCATTTCTGTGAGCTCGCTTACAATTTGAAGTAACGTGAAGCTTCGTTTTGTCTCTGTGTTGTTGTTTTCGCGTTCTTAAATCTCCTATCTAGGAGAAATATAATTTTTTGCCATCGCATTTTCTGGCCCATTGCTGAAAGGCCGCATCGTTGGATCATTATTTCTCTATGACTGAATGGCATTAAAACCGCGGATATAATTTTGCTTTAGTGAGCTTTGAGCCATGCATTTGCTATATCAATACGACTCGCCAGGTTCAATGTACCTTTGTTTGTTCCTGTGTTTAAGCAGATGTAGAGTGAAGAAGTACAAACTAGGGTCCGATTCTTAATTTGTACCATAAACTTTACCACGAAATGAACAAGTAATTAAATATAGCCGATGTGAATATTCCAATACATGTTCAGCATGCATGAGCCGAATAGATTGCGTGATGATTGAAATTGGTGATCTGAAGTCGCATTCAGTTTCAAGTGCATTAAGATAATATTAGTTTTAATGGATTAATGCCAAATGTCGCATGTTTCCTTGCGTCAGGAGTGGAATCAGGGATTTAGACATAAATGAAAATGGATGTCGTCTTCATGCAAAGGATCAAGTCGTCAATGCATGAAATTTAACTTAAAGGCGTTGGTCTGAAAAACCTTTAACTCTATTCTTTTTTGAAAATTTTATATAGGAAGTCTCTATTAGAGCTTCTGCCTTACTATTACGAGCTATCCCCTTGCTGAAGTTAAGAATGGTTTAGTATTTGTGTAAAATTTTGGTGTTTAAGTATTGAACTTTTTACTAGTACGATGCAAACCGTAATTAAGGATAACCTGTAAATCAAATTGGGAAACCCATTTTGAGAAGTTCATGTATCTACTGTCAAAATATTGGCCTTTATTTAGGTTTGTAGTGCCAGTGTACCCCTCAATAGACCAGGATGACGTTATTACATCGCCATACAACTCAGTGTTGGCCATGCACCAGCTGACCGAACATGCTGACGTCATTCTGCCAATTGAGAACGCGGCCTTAGATCGGCTAGTGAATACAGTCTCTAAGAAACTGACTCAGAGTGGAGACACATTAGGTTCAACTCAGTCGGGATCGAAGAGCGGACAGAAAAGTAGCTCGTGTTACTCTTCGGCCGGTGAGACGAGTTCTAAAATAGACTCGGATTCGGCACTCACCAAAAACACAGGTCGGCATGAAAGCTCCGTACTTCAATAGTAGTTTTGTCTACCTTTCATTGATACTTGTTGATTAAACACTTGGCTGCTTCAGCATGATATTACTATTTGCTATTATTCACTTACCTTAATCCCTTATTGATACGGTTGGCTTCAAGGATTTTAGCTTATCGAAATTCAGTATTCAAAATTTCAAAAAAGCTTGACATGATTATTATCGTGAGGTGACAATTCGTAAGAAGCAAATGGGTGCTAGTTGCTTGCGTCTCCTTAAGAATTGTCATTTGTTACGAGCTGTCGCCAATTTTCTTTCGTTACGACTTGTCGCCTAACCAGTTTTAAGTTGCCGAAAATTCTACAGTTCAAGAGAGGGTACTCAACATCCTACATGAACACTTCCCAGACATATACAGGCTGGTAAACAACGCTCACTTATACATTTTCTTACAAGTCAATTGACAAGTTTTATCCCGACGACAAACTTTCATTTACGAGGCCAGTGGTGCGAAAAGCTATGTCACCGAAGTTCTTGTCGTACAGAAACTAATGGAATAATTGATAACTTACATTAGAACCGAATCAAATTTAATTTGTAAATTCAAATTGATTTATTGTTTTAGTTTAACAGAAACGGTTTGAGCTATAAATATTTGAAACTTCCTTGGAAAAAACCAAAGGATAAAAGTTATATCTTCCAAACAACGCAATATTAGGTGACTAAACGGATTTAATACAATCCGAAACTGAATAAACTTTTCAAGTGAAAAAAAAAGACTAAACAAAATCACTGCTGGTAAATATACAAATTACAGGAATATTTTGTCTATTTACCAACCTTGATTTTTATAATTTCGGTTTTTGTTTTTTGCTTGAAAATTTTGTTCGTTTTCGGGTTTTTCTTTAATCCGCTTAGTCACCTAGTGATTTGTTGTATGAAAACAAAGGTTTTCATTGGTATGTTACGAACATGTTACGAGGGAGTTTCTAAACTTCAAACTTCTCATGACAAAAGGTTTCTTTCCGGCTCAACTGGCGTCTACCGATTTTCTGTTTGTTTAGTTGACACTTGATTCTTATTGCGATAAGCAGTGGTATTGCAATCGGGTAATTGATTTTTTTCCAGCAAATATCTTTGTTCACATGGCTCATGTGGTTTCCAGTTAGTACCTTGGCTCATAACAAATTCAAGTTTCTAAGTGAGTCCTGTGAACTTAGCCTGGGGGTTAGATTACGCTTTGGACGGCAAAGGGATATTTTCTGTTTAAATTAAAATCGTCTGCCTAATATTTGTCGGCTTAGTTGCAACATCTAAGACTCGTTTGTTTTTACTGTAAAAAATTTCCATTGTAAGTGTTTTAGCATTTCAAAAATCCGACCAAATCGAATTTTGAATTTACATTGATTGTAATTTTACCATCTCGATTTGTTAATTATTCGTTTTATTTAAAAAAAATCGTCTACTGAGTACTCGGCTTCTCTCTATCCATCCGAAAGTTGCTTGTATAGTTTTCAATGGTCAATGGTACAGTATTTTTTCGGATAATTTGGGCCTTTTTGCAATTTTTAATATCAATAACGATTTTTTTTAATTTATTTTTTTTTCGTTTGATTTTAATTATAGCTTTTTTTCCGATCGCAAGTTGTGCGAAGCTCTGCTTCGCCTCTCTCTGTGTAAATTTTTTGGTTGCTTAATTAATGCGAACTATACTTTTTTTTTCCTGAAAACAGCTTTTACAAATCTGTTTCCAACACGTGCAAGTGCTGAAATAAAGGTCATATGAAAGCATTGATTCGGCAACTTACTTCATGTAACATAATTACACTTGCGGGAGCAAGTATCTTGTAATCGTGAACAAGGCCTTTTTTCTCGTAAAGGATTTTAATTACATATCTGTAAGAAAATGAAAGTGTTTTGTTATTGAATTTTTCAGCTTCCAGGTTTTTTCCCACTTGGCCTAGAGGTAGCGCTCTTAACTTTGGCTTCGAATCCCGGCAGGACCTTGTTATTTTCAGCATGTTTGAAATTGAACATTTTTCTGGTAAAATTGAACTGTCGGACTTTCGTTGGTCTGCTGAAGTTTTGTCGGCTTAGTTATTACATCACGGATTTTGTATGTGCTATAAGCAACTTTCATTAAAATTGCAAGTGTTGTTCATTTTACTTTCAGTAGGGACGTGAAACTTGATTTTAAAAAAATCAATGTTTTTCGGCTCAACTGGTGGCTGCTTAAAGTTTTCTTGTAATTACAAGTGGAAATGTTGTTTTTTGTTGTTTCAGGGGACGAAGTTTTGTTCGGTTGCTAATTTAATATTCAATTGTCTTGCATGTTTGCCTAAAACGAATTTTTATTGAGGCATATGAAAATTTACGTGTGGCTAGACTTGGTTTTTTTAACATCTCAATTTCTTTTTTCGATTGTGATGCAAGTGATGCCAACCTCCACTTAGCCTCTGTATACTATTGTTTAATGCAAATTGATTGAAAAATTCACATTACCTCTAAAAATGTCTATTTTGCCCTATTTTTGTCGGCTTCCTTTCCTTTTGTTTGAATAATTGCTATCTGTAAGAAATTGAATTTACTTTTTTGAACCTCAGCAAATTGGAGGCTCCTTCCTATTGGTCTAGAGTTAACAGTGTTGCCTTTGCACCGTTTGATATGTATAAGGTCTTGCATCCTTCAGTCGTTATGAAATTAATTTTTTTTTTCAGAAAAAGCAATTTGCCGGAATTTTGTGTCTGTTTTTTTTTTGGCTTTGTTTCCAAAGCATGAAGTTTTTTTTCTTACTCGAACAGTCAACAATCGTCAGTTTACGTGGTCTTCTATTCAACCAACTCGGATTCTGAATATTTTTTTCATTCAGCTTTTTTTGTGACATTTAAAGAGCAAAAAATAATTCAGGGCTGTTGTGTGTAAGTTACAACTTTTAAAAATGTTATCACCGAAAGTTTTTTGTGACTATAATTTTAATGAATTTTTTTTGCTTTCAGTTCAGTGTCTGTCTTTCGAAGTACTGTCAGCTTAGCGGCTGTTCGTTTACTGATACTAATGCTTATTTAATGCTGACGGTTATGTTTCCGAATTGAAGTTTTCATTTAGTCGAAAAAAGTTTCATTTTCATTTTTTTTGGTTTTAGTAATTTTTTTCTCTATTTCTATTCGCTAGCTTGATATGCTACGCTTGCGTTGTATTGTAAGTGGCGAGAAGCTCCGCTTTTTCTCCGTCGACATTTTTCATTCACATTTTTAGTTCGCATTTTTTCATTTTCTGAATCGACTCAATGACACGTCTCATTTCTGTGAGCTCGCTTACAATTTGAAGTAACGTGAAGCTTCGTTTTGTCTCTGTGTTGTTGTTTTCGCGTTCTTAAATCTCCTATCTAGGAGAAATATAATTTTTTGCCATCGCATTTTCTGGCCCATTGCTGAAAGGCCGCATCGTTGGATCATTATTTCTCTATGACTGAATGGCATTAAAACCGCGGATATAATTTTGCTTTAGTGAGCTTTGAGCCATGCATTTGCTATATCAATACGACTCGCCAGGTTCAATGTACCTTTGTTTGTTCCTGTGTTTAAGCAGATGTAGAGTGAAGAAGTACAAACTAGGGTCCGATTCTTAATTTGTACCATAAACTTTACCACGAAATGAACAAGTAATTAAATATAGCCGATGTGAATATTCCAATACATGTTCAGCATGCATGAGCCGAATAGATTGCGTGATGATTGAAATTGGTGATCTGAAGTCGCATTCAGTTTCAAGTGCATTAAGATAATATTAGTTTTAATGGATTAATGCCAAATGTCGCATGTTTCCTTGCGTCAGGAGTGGAATCAGGGATTTAGACATAAATGAAAATGGATGTCGTCTTCATGCAAAGGATCAAGTCGTCAATGCATGAAATTTAACTTAAAGGCGTTGGTCTGAAAAACCTTTAACTCTATTCTTTTTTGAAAATTTTATATAGGAAGTCTCTATTAGAGCTTCTGCCTTACTATTACGAGCTATCCCCTTGCTGAAGTTAAGAATGGTTTAGTATTTGTGTAAAATTTTGGTGTTTAAGTATTGAACTTTTTACTAGTACGATGCAAACCGTAATTAAGGATAACCTGTAAATCAAATTGGGAAACCCATTTTGAGAAGTTCATGTATCTACTGTCAAAATATTGGCCTTTATTTAGGTTTGTAGTGCCAGTGTACCCCTCAATAGACCAGGATGACGTTATTACATCGCCATACAACTCAGTGTTGGCCATGCACCAGCTGACCGAACATGCTGACGTCATTCTGCCAATTGAGAACGCGGCCTTAGATCGGCTAGTGAATACAGTCTCTAAGAAACTGACTCAGAGTGGAGACACATTAGGTTCAACTCAGTCGGGATCGAAGAGCGGACAGAAAAGTAGCTCGTGTTACTCTTCGGCCGGTGAGACGAGTTCTAAAATAGACTCGGATTCGGCACTCACCAAAAACACAGGTCGGCATGAAAGCTCCGTACTTCAATAGTAGTTTTGTCTACCTTTCATTGATACTTGTTGATTAAACACTTGGCTGCTTCAGCATGATATTACTATTTGCTATTATTCACTTACCTTATTCCCTTATTGATACGGTTGGCTTCAAGGATTTTAGCTTATCGAAATTCAGTATTCAAAATTTCAAAAAAGCTTGACATGATTATTATCGTGAGGTGACAATTCGTAAGAAGCAAATGGGTGCTAGTTGCTTGCGTCTCCTTAAGAATTGTCATTTGTTACGAGCTGTCGCCAATTTTCTTTCGTTACGACTTGTCGCCTAACCAGTTTTAAGTTGCCGAAAATTCTACAGTTCAAGAGAATAGCACAGTTTCTCTTCAGGTTCGCTGCAGAAGGAGGAGCAGGCGTTTGATAGCATGAACAACCTGGTGGCGCATCTGCTCCTAAACCTCACTGCCTCCAGTCGCTTCGAGGGTAGTCTCAATGTGGATTTGAACGAGGTCACGATGAACATGGTGCCCTTTCCCCGCATGCAGTATCTCACCAGCAGTCAGTGTCCGCTCTACTCCCTCAAAGATCTGAGGGTAACGTACAAATGAATAAGATAATTGAATTTATTCATGCTTGAAGCTGGTGTGTTCTGTTACTTTGTCCACAAAAAAGCAAAGAGTTCTCTAAATAGTATCTTCAGTTTTGATTATTTTCAATTAATTACGACCAAAATCATCAGAATTGGGACGTTTTTCAGAATACATTCACGAAGCAAAGAATAAATATATCAAATTCTTTTATTCAGCATATTAGCAGTTAAACAAGAAGTATATACTTTTTTTGGTACTCTGCATTATATTAATATACCCTGCAGCACACCTATCATGTCATTGTACTGCTAACAGTTCGAGCACTAATATACCACCATTCTCTTAAGATTAGATACACACGAACACACAATTTCAAATCTAAAGAAGTGTTCTATTTACGACAGCCCTGTTCGTTAAAATACTTAGCCCGAGGATGAAAAGTAAAGATATGTTTAGTTCGTTTCAGCTTCCGGCAAGGAACTTAGATCAGATGTTCAGCAATTCCTTTTCTGCGGAGTACCAGCTGTTGGAGGCAGACCCCAAACACGACATCTACATTGCATGTGCTCTGCTCCTCCGAGGAGCCAACGTCACTCTGTCCGATGTCAGAAGAAACATTGACAAGTGAGTGCTCTACTGTATATTTAAATATATAATAGATAGATAATAGATAGATAAAAAACAGGTATACAGACAGACTTAATTTGACCTCAAAAAAAATTGCTGAAAAATTAATGACCTTGCGGAAAGTTCATCGAAACCTTTTCTTGAGCATTGCAGTATATGATACAGCCTCTACCTATTCCCTCAAGATGGAACAAATCATTCGCATAATAGAGGATTGAAGTTCGAATCTCCCTGCATGCTCAAATATTAATTTCAATACATTTTTTCAAGCAGTTTTTTTTGCTTGTGCTATCTTAATTTTGTGATGAATCTCTGAACTAGCTAAGGAGTTTGCAGTTCATTTGGTGAATAAGTTCAAACTGATTTTACATGATTCTAATGAGCTCTAAATCCTGAAAAAATACTAAATTGTTTTTCTGAGACCCGCTCGTAATTAAAATACTGGATTCTAGTCTTAGGTGTTTATATTATTTTTTGGTAACTGTTTGATTGGTTGCTTAGGATGCGGAAGCAAACCAAATTCATGCACTGGAACGAGGACGGGTGGAAGGCTGGCATCTGTTCTGTTGCGCCAGTGGGACTGCCCTACAGTCTACTGAATGTGTCCAACAGTCTCTGCATCAGACACACGTTCTCTAGCCTAGAGAATAGATTCCTCAAACTCTACAGACGCAAGGCGAATCTACACCACTACACTAGGTGTGTATAGATATCAAAGTGCTGATTGAAATTACGAGTTGAAAAGTCTGGACTGAACGAATGAAACTTCACATTTTGAAATATTTTTTTTTCTCGAATTTGGTTGATTTTAGATATTGTGATGAAAAACTTAAGACATGAAAGAAAAATATAAATTGGTCCAGAATTTTTATTGAGCTCGTTTTACAAAATACAGGTCCAAAAATTCATTAGTAAATGGGTCTTTTTAAGCGAAATTCGTTTGAACAAAAACTACTAGATGAGTTTTTTACACAACCAAGCTTGGGAGCATTGTTATAAAAAGAGTCGGTTTTTTTTGCAATCCAACTCGCAAATGAAAGTGATCCATTTGTTGACTTTTTTTTGCATAGTATTGACAGTTTAATAGCACGTGTTGTCAGCTTCGTGAGTGGCTATTATTTCGGTTTTGTCAGCGTCAAGGGCGTAGTTCGAAAAAGCATTCGTCTGAAATGCTGTAGGCTTATGGTTCGATTTCCGCTTAACTCAATAATTTGTAATAACTGTTCCTGTATTTCCTATTTTTTTTTAAAAAAATTTTCTAACTCTTGCGAGCGTAGTGTAATAGCACGAATATTATTTTTTTCCAATCTATGTCGCGAATGTTAGTGCCACTTTTAGTGGCATCTTTACGGCTCTAGTGGCATCTTTTCTTGCTAGTGTTTTTGTAGCGCAGCTTCACATCTGTGTTTACCCTTTTAAGCTACTTCATCGCTGTTGGCGCTATGTTCGCTAAAGCATGTTTGGCGCTTTGTAAATGAAATAATATCGAAATGACTTTTCATATCAAAAATGCTTTGAAATTCAGCAAGGATATAACGTCCGTAACATTTTTTGAAATTAAAAAAAAAATTTTTTTTTTAAGGTTGCTGTTTTTTTTTTCATGAAAATTGATATACGCTTATTTTTACATTGTGGTGGTTTCTTTTAGGTTTATTTTCAACTTCGGTTCAATTCATTACCTGATTTGATGGCTAGTTGTTTCCTCTTACGATGAAATCAGAAGTTCCAGAATAAGAATAAAATTTTGAAAAATAAATTGGTCTTTTTTTATCGAGTAGTGAATATTATTCCTATTTTGAGGGGGAGCGCTCGCCGAAAAAGCAATGTTTTGGCTTGTTTTTCTGCAGTTTGCCTATGGCGTAGAAAATCAGTTTGCCTACGGCGGTCAAATTGGGTCTTTTTAGGGATTTTTGGGGGACCGCATAAAATCAGTTTGGTCGCCCTAAATATATATTTTTTAAAAATTTCGCCAACCACAAACCCCCCCCCTCCCCGCTCTCGAGAAAAATCCCCGCTCTCCAGTTTTTTTGCAATCCAACTCGCAAATGAAAGTCATCCATTTGTTGACTTTTTTTGCATAGTATTGACAGTTTAGTCGCATCTTTACGGCTTTTGATAGCATGTGCTTTGACGTTCGATTAGTATTAAGTTAACACAGTTGATTCTTTTTTAATTCATCAAACGCACCGAAAAAAGGTATTTGTTTCAAACAACAATAAAACAATAAAAACTTTTTCAGAAGTTGTCCAACTCATAATATTTAGCAGATTTTTTGAAATGCATAATTTATACGTAATTTAGATTAATGTTTTCCAATTTTTTACATTCAAAGTTGGCGTGGATGCCTTCAGTTTGTAGTATTGTGAATTATTTCATGCAAAATTGTGTCATTTGTATTTTGTGCTACTTTTGCTGCATCTTATTGACAATTTATTAGCATATGTAGCTATTTTATTTGTGGCTGGTGTTAGTAAATTGTCAAAGTCCCGCGGCGCAGATGCGAGGACAGGCGATTCTGTCTCTCATGATTCTGGGATCGAATCTGCCACAGCAAAATTTTATTTTTCAAGGCTAGTTTTCACCCTTGTTTAAACATATTTCACTTTAATGAGCTGCTTTTTTGTCGTTTTCTTGCTAGTGTTGGCGAAGCGGAGCTTCACATCTGTGTTTACCTTTTTAAGCTGCTTTTGGCGCTTTGTTTGCTAAAGCATGTTTGGTGCTTTGTAAATGAAATAATATCGAAATGAGTTTTCATAGCAAAAATGCATTGAAATGCAGCAAGGATATATCGTCCGTAACATTTTTTGAAATTTTAATAGACTTTTTTTTATTAAGGTTGCCGTTTTTTTCATGAAAATTGATTCACGATTATGTTAAAATTGTGGCGGTTTCTTTTAGGCTTATTTTCAACTTCGGTTTAATTCATTAGCTGATTTGATGGCTAGTTGTTTCCTTTTACGATGAAATCAGAAGTTCCATGAAAAAATTGTTTTTTTTTAGGAATTCCTAGCGGAATGAAAATTAAATAGGTGACTTTTATGCCTTAGTGAATATGATACTAATCTTGAGGGGGAGCGCGCGCCGAAAACCAATTTTTTGGCTTGTTTTTCTGCAGTTTGCCGACGGCGTAGAAACTATGTTTGCCTACGGCGGTCAAAATTGGGTCTTTTTAGGGATTTGGGGGACCGCACAAAATCAATTTGGTCGCCCTAATTTTTTTTTGAAAATTCGCCAACCACAACCCCCCCCCCGCTCTCGAGAAAAAACTAGATCCGCCCCTGGTTTCGAATGCTAGAATTGAAACCTTGGCTTCAAGTGTCGCAATCCCGAGTGTATCCGCTACTCCAATGACGCTTATGCAATTACTTTGTTTATTAATTCTGTATAATTGTTCCGACAACTTCACGGAAGCTTGTAAGAGGTCTAGTGTCATATCAAAAGCATTTCAGCCGTGATTCGTGTTTGAAAAGAATTGTCTCGGTGTCGACAAAAACTGGTCTAGTTTTTTTCCGTTTTACAGACTAGACTACTGAGTTTGCTTTCCAGACTTGTTAAGATGACCTTTTATGGGATACGGAAGGTGGCAATATGATTGATTTCGGCAAATTGAACAGTAAAATAGCTCCTGAGTACATGAAATATTTTTTCTACATTTTCCTTGCAGTTAATGGAAAAACAAATTTTTCGTACTATCACCGGATTTTTCCAGTATGCGTTTCGGTTTCGGTTATTTTTTTTCGGTTTTCGTATTCAACAACACTGTTTGTTGGCTATGTTTTATTTGTCTGTTGGCTATGTTTTATGTAGTCGGTATCAAGGAAATTGATTTCTTGCTGCTTAAATTTTGTTTTCTGAAGTTAAGTTCAAATTACTTGTGAATTTCAATTCAAAGTAACATGAGAAACGGAAAGCTCATTGGAAGTTATTTTTTGGTTTCGATATTCAACAAAATTTTTCCGATTGTCTGTTGGCTATGTTTTATGTAGTCTAGTTTTAAGGAAATTGATTTCTTGCAACTTGAATTTTGTTTTCCGAAGTTCAATTCAAATTAATTTGCGAAGTGTAAAAGCTCATAAGCGAAGTTCAATTCAAATTAATTTGCGAAGTGTAAAAGCTCATATGCGAAGTGTGGAAGTCATTTTTTTTGGTTTCCTTATTCAACATCAGTTTGCCAACTGTCTGTTGGCTATGTTTTATTGATCACAGCTGAAAGTTTATTAATTCATCACACTCGCAGGAGCAAGTGTCTTGTAATCGGGAACTATACCTTTTTTCACCTCATGGTCTAGAGGTAACTTGGTCGCCTTTGCGTGGTTGCCTTTAGGGCTTGGGGTTCAAGTCCCGTCCGGACCTTGGTTTTTTGAAACTTTTTACAAAATCTATTTTTTTTTCGGCGCAACTGATATCTGCTCAAAGAATGTCTGCTTTATTTCCGCTTCGTAAGTTTTGTTCCGTTGCTAATTTTTAAATTTAAAAGTTTCGCCTGGAATGTTTGCCTGAAGCAACTTTTATTGAGACATTCGAAAATTTTAGTAGATCGAGTTTTTTTCAACATTTTTAGTTTTGTTTTGTTATGTAATGTTTTGGTTTATGTTTGTGTTTGTCGAAAGTGATATGAATCTCCGCTTCGCCTCTATGTAGTCGTTTGGTTCATTGACTGAACGAAGTTTGTTTGCAAAAAACGGGAAATTTTGGAAAAGATAATGTTTTGTTTTCTACAGGGTGGACAATATGACAGCGGATGTGGTAGCTGATGCTGCAGAGTCTCTCCGCAGTCAGATTCTGGAGTATGAAGGACTGGTGCTACAGGCAAACAACCCACCTGCACAAGTACCCCGGCTGCAAGTGCTATGAACTGACAACAGAGGGAAAAAGGATTCATCGGCTGATGATGTCTCAGATGTGATTACACAGCATAGATGACAGATTCGTTTAAAAATTTTGAAAATAGAAAGTCTGGGATCATTTTTGAAGACTAATGTGGTACTTTGAACTGCTAGAGGTTTTAATTTTCAAAAATGACCTGGAAATAGAAAAGAAAGACTTATGAAAGAAATTTATGCATTGAAAATAACTTTGACGTGGTTGAACTTTTGATTTGATCTTTACTGTGATTGAGCGTTTGATTGTACATATTATTGCTTGTAAATAACTTTTTGATAAATGAAATAAAAAAAGTTTCTGTGAGCTACTTTTTCGAGCATAGATATAATTAGACCACTGAACATTATCATATTCTTCATGGTTTAACTGCATAACGGCTAAATGTAATGGTAGCTTGTTTTTGCTTGTTAAAATTTTGAAGTCATTCTTCGCGAAAATAATTTTGAGCTTTTACAGCCAGTAGGCTTATAAATACGATTCCTTTTCAGATAGAAACTATGATTTTATAAATTATTCGTAGAAATTTTAAATAAATTTTAATTATCGTAACCAAGAAAGTGCTGGTCACTAATTTTAATGAGTTTCCAATAGACAAGAAGAGAAGGTGTCATTTGACGAGCAAGACGACTCTAAGCACAGCTGATAGTGCAATCATCAACAACATCATGATAGGTTAGATGGCGTTTTGTTTCTCGGTCAAGTGTAAATGTGGGTGTGTCCTGGCTAGATTTTTTTTGTAATGTAATCAAAGAAGGAATGTACCTCTAGACTATAATCTGTTAGGAATGTACGAAACTAACTTATTCATTATTATTAAGAAGATAATTATCACGAAAATTGTGAACAAGTTAGAAAATTTTCAACTAGTTAGAAATTTAAATTCAGGATTTTAAAGATCATGGTAGCTCTTGTACCGAATGGTTGATTTTTTTTTGGATGGTAAGTTTTCAATACAGCTGCTCATCTCCAATGGTGTGACTTCGGTTAGAAAAAATAGAATTTATTTTCGGGTGGGAAAATTGGACTACAAGTTGTCAGCTTAGGTGTCGAACCAGAAGCTATTATCGTAAAAAATGCATTGAATTGCTCTATTTCAGTTTTGGATGAGGTCCCCAAGTAATTTGTATATAGGCCTTGAGTCCAAATTTACAATTTTTTGAAATGGTTTTCTTTTTTAGTACCTTAAGTTTCTTTTTCTACTCTAACTTTCATATTGCTAAACGTACATATTCTTGATTAGCCTTGTTATAAACTCATTTCATGGAAGTAATTCCTTTTTGTTCTGAGCTCTTTTATGCTATTTGTGAACCAAATAGGAAACTTCTTGGCTTTTTAGAGGCCTTACGGTCAATAGCTTCAGAAATCATTTCTCTAAAATTTTTGAATCCAGTATTTACGTTAACTTGTAGCACAAAATTACTAAATGAGTGCTCATGGTAAAAAAAAAACAACTTTTGTTTGAATTCATTCAAAGCCAAGATATAGGGCTAGAAACTTAATCGCGATGGCAATGAAACTAAACTGAATTGCGACTGGATAATTTTCACTGAAACTTTGATGTTGTAATACATCTGCTTGAGATGGATTTACGTTTTTAATGGCAAAATGATCAATGCAAGTAGCAGATGAGTTAATCACTCGAGTCCGTTCTCTCAACACCAGATCGACTCCTTTCATTTCTATTAGCCTCGTATATTTTGCAGAGACTAGATTCTTTTTAGAGATATTGATATTTTCAAAGAGAACGTGTGGTACCGGTTCAGTACTTGTACTTTCAAGAAAATTGTCCAGCAGTTAAATCATTACTCCAGCTCTTTGCATTCACGAGAAACAGACTTATTTTTTATGTAACCTTCATCAAATAGTTTGAATTATATCTGGCAGTGAACTAGTGCTTCCAAATCTTCAAACAATTTTCGACTACTTTTAAATGGGTCAATGCCGTCTCATCCTTGCGGTAACCCTCAAACACTGTGGTTAAAATTCAAACATCTCTTTGATAGAATCTTTGGATTCGATAAATGTCCTTTCCATTGATTACACGTGCAAGAGCAATTGTCTTTAATCGGGCATTCGACTGTTTTTTACCCGTAAACAACTTTTCTTACAAGAATTTGCACTTGCTTTATTATTGAATCCTAACAACGTTCAGGCTTCTTCCCGCTTGCCTTGGAGGTAACGCGGTCGATTTGCACCCTAAGGTCTGGGTTTGAGTTCAATATTTTTTTCGGCTCAATTTGTTATGCTCGAAGATTGACCGCTTTGTTTCGAAAATTAACCGCTTCGTAAGTTTTGATCCGTTGCTAATTTGGAATTCAAATGTCTTGCTCAGAGCTTTTCCTACAGTTCGTGTTTGATGAAAAGAGATGTATTGTAAATGTAACGAATCGAGTTTTTTGTATTTCTTATGTTTTTGAGTCGCTTTGGAAATTGTTTTCACTTTTTGCAAATTTTTTTTCTTCAAAATACTACATACCGATTTTCAAGAAAACGGGTATCATTGAGAAGGCCGCGTAATCATTTGTGTGCCTAGATTCTATATTGTTACACCATTATTATCTACAGCCTTCGAAAAAGTCTGGGAGAATTTTTGACCCTTATTTTTGGATTTTTCTTTCGTTTTCTCAAAAACCACAATCCCAAATCTGAGATGTTGGTTTTACTGGATAGGATGGGTGGTGGCAAGCTCCGCTACGTGAGAGGTTTTGTCAAATTGTTTTCATTGACCAAGAGTAATGGTCCTCGGAAAAGTCAAAATTTTGTTGTTTTTTTTGTTGAAGAAGTTTGATTTCTCTCGAAAACTACCCTCACAAATCTGAGTTTCTGGTTTCAATCAAAAAAAATCGGATTGTGTGACTGTCACCTGCATGTGGCTGCGCTCAAATTAAAAAAAAAGGTATAATTCTCGAAAAATCGAATTTTGGATCGTTTAATTTCCGACACAACTTAGGACTTAATTTGGGCAGCAGCTTCTTCAATTATTTACGTTATGGCACTGCCTTTCTTCTGTGATTAATTGTGGAATCAGGTTTTCACTTGATTTAGCGATAGTATCTTCAAATATTTTCTTTGTATCGATAGAATCAATGTCCAATTTGGCGCAGAGACTTATCTGGTAAAGCTTCTGTTTTCTGGCCTGGTTATTTGCGTTTGGTCTTCAAACTGAATAGAAGATTAGAAGGGGTATCAATAGTCTGGATTCTTTTGGCATCATCAATTTGCATTTTCCTTCTTTTTTAAATAAGTTTAAAAACAAATATGAAAAAACAATTAAGCGGTGAAGTTTCCTGAGAAGAAGAATATTTTTTGTTACGCTCACAATTGCACCAATTCGTTCCTAAGCTTGGATTTTTTTGTTTTGCAATGTTTTCATTTCATCATCTTTTGCTGATTTATGTTGTTTTAGAACTAGAGTTTTTCCACATAATAGCTGGGGCAGTTGTGCTCGCCTTACCAGCAATAACTCTGGCAGTCTCACACCAGGTGCGCAAGAGGAGTTGCAAACGACGCAGCAGTTCCAAGTCTTCCATGTTGTTTAACTCTAAAGGAAAGAAGTGTGAAATGATTGCGCACAAGGGAGCGGCTTTAGATGGACCCGAAAACACGATAGGAGCCATTCATAAGGTAAAAAATAATCAGATGGAAAAACATCTCATCCCCAGAATTTTGTTTACTTTCCAAATACCCTGATGTGCAGCACTACAGGACTCATGTGTTAGCGCTGCCAAACCTCAAAGTGCTGAGCATTGAAGTAGTTTTTTGTGTACGCAAATCCGTGTCACCGCCTTTCAGTGATTCAATAGATTTGGTGGGATGATGATCTCATGCTTAGATTAGGACTTGTATTTTTATTATTTTTAATATAAGCAGACTTCATTTCTTTCATTTCTTGTACTCATATTTACCTTCGCCAGAAGCAAAGATGATGGAACCGGGTATTTGATTTTTTTCCTGAAAGGAACTTTGTTCACAGTGTCTTCAATTTTAAGTTACGATTTTTAGCAAAGTTGCACGTTTAACATCTGTATTCATCAGCTGGTCTACAGCTACAGAAGTGATACTGTTTATATAGCTGAATTTGTCTCATATATTGATTTATTGATTTCGTCCCACTTGCCGGCTTCTTTATTCTGTATTGTTTTTGGTATATTGCTTATTTTTAGTATGTTATATATATATATATTTCAATTTTTAAGTGTTTAAATATAGTTCATCAAATCCTGTTTTTATACGCGTCAAACTTTCCTGTTAAACTTGATTTTTTTTTTGAAATTTTTAGTTTGAATTTCTTAAATTATCCTCAGTTTTTGTATATTAAGTTTTCAGTTTTTCCGGATGGATGGATTCTGACTTCATTTTTGTTCTAAAAGTGCCTGTAACTAGTTTTTGTTCTTATTAATTTGAAAAATTTTAGGGTAGAGCAGTTTCGTTTGAAAGCGATTCAAGTTGTGGGCATAGGGTATTGTTTTGTTCCTTAACGTTTCTATAGACATTTTCATATTTTTTGAAGCAATTTTGACTTGACCGTTTTCTCTACGAAGGTCTGCGGTGAGTGTCTTACGAAATTTAGGAGTGTGGTTGTTTCTGGCTGTGTGTGCAAAGTTTTTGAGTACTTGTAAGAATCTCGATTTTTTAAATTTTTTTAATCCATTGGCTTTGAGCAAGAAATAAATGATTTTCATGTAGCCCGAATCCTTCTGATGTTTTAAGTAATTCATTTCTATAACAATTACACTAAAATTTTCCATGATTTTTTTTGTTTCCGATTTGTTCCTCAGAATTCGTTCAAATAAAATTTGTTATAAAATCAATTAATCAACCCTCCAGCGCATCTGCTGTAGAGATAACACAGCTGCTTGAGACGACAAAACTTGTGGTTCTAATGCGGTCAGGACCTGCTTTTTTTTGCAAGCTTGAATTTTTCTGCTTTTTCGAACTATTGCCGGTCTGTTTTTTTTTCGCTTAGATCCCATAGCTCGTACTCATCAAGAAGTTTCAGCTTTCCTCTAATTTTCTGAATTCCATTTGTTGAGCCTCATTGGTTGAGATAATTGAGTAACAAGATTTTTTTTGCAGAATTTGACTTTTTGTTCTAAAATTTTATAAATAAGTTTTAATAAAAAAATTTTAATCAAGAAAAAACATTTTTCTCATTTATTTAATTATTTGATTGGTCGATTAATGTGCATGGAATTGCACGCAATTAATTTTTTTGAGATTAGCAGCGTTTTTCAATAAGTTATTCGTTTTTTTTCATATTAATTCTCATACTCTTAGTTCGTCAGATAGAAAGAGAATTGGCCGAAATGACAGGACTAGATGTAATAACTATTCCTTAATGAGGGCTTAATTTTAGGGGAAAAATAAATTTTTCCCCACAATCCTATATTTATTCGAATGTAAATTTATCTTTATTACTTAGTTGCAATCATAATTTGTTCAACGGGTAGACGTCAAGTAGGCACATACTGCGCCTTTTGTCTATCCCCTCCATTTTGTTGATTTAATAATTTAAATAAATTGATGCTTGTATTATCAACTATATGGAGAAATAAATTCTTCTTCTTCTTCTTCTAAAATGATGTCTCAGCTGTTTCACATAGTTCTAGTTTGTCTTATTTTTGACTTTTTAAAATGATGACCATGAGATAGTTAGAATATGTTCATTCTTATGTAAATTGGTTAAAATAATTTCATTATTTCTTATGCAAGAAAACGCCTATATTCCGTGACTTTTTTGCAATTTAACTAGCTTTAATTAGTGCTCAACGAGTTAGTGACTTTTGCAGCATATAATTTGATAGCATTTGTTGTATCCGCTTTGTTGGTGGCTGGTGTTTGAATAGAGTAAGGTGGTCTGGCGCTGTTGGCTGGACATTATTTCGTAACCGCCTTTTGCAACTTTTTTGCTGGTCTGAAGTTCGGCTTCGCTTCTTTGTCATGTTCAGGTGTAAGTCTAATAGTTAATTGAATGATTTTGTCAAAGTTAGAATTGAATTAACTTATGTCATTATTTGGATCAAACTTTTGCCATATTTCAATTGGAACGGTATTTTATTGCTCAAAATTGAGTTTAAATTGGCTAATTAATAGCCGACTGAATCAGAACTTATTTTTTAAAACTCGGAAGCTTAAAATTACACACTCAATTAGGCCTCTAACTAAATGCCGGATTGAATTGGGAAAACTTGTGAAAATCCAAAAAAGGGGAAAAACGCTTTTTCATTTTTAGACGCTTCAAGTTTTTCGTGTAATTTGTTTGTGTGTGCGAAAGCGAAGTACTATTTCATCTTGGTGTTCATTTTTAAACAATTTTGTTATTCTGTTGAGTCTAATCATTCGCAATGATGCCCAGAACTTTTTATGTACTTTTCCCATGACCTAATTGCCCATTTAGTGTCTCCTGTTTCAATGCTTCTTTTAATATGGATAAGTTTTGCAGCTAGATCAGAGAGTTCAACGCTGTTTTTTTTCGCTGGAATATTCTGTGCAGGAACTAGTTGTGCTTTTTTCATTTCGACAATTATTCTGGGGAACTTAAAAACTATGTTAACCGTTGCAGAAAGTCGCTGTAGAAATTTTTTATACTGTGTTTTGTAGGCGGCCTCCAATGGATTTGATGGGGTAGAAATTGACATTCAGTTGACGAGTGACAAAGTGGCAGTGTTGTTTCATGATGACACGGTGGACAGAACTACTGACGGCACTGGCAACGTACGCGACTTTACCCTCCAGCAGATCTCACAACTCAACGCAGCTGCAAAGTTCGACGGGTCAGTACAGTTTCAAGCTACTCAGGCACGGATCTAAAATGTTTGTGAGATTTTTCGGAAATGTAATAGTTTTAATAGGAGTAAAAAGTAAAAGGTCTGAGTTAAAAATTTTCCGAGCTTCTCAAGTATTAGAAATTCAGCCATGACACGTTTCTGAATTGAACGTAATTTTAAAAAAAATTTGGGTTGTCGAAGTAATGCTTGCTATTTGAATGAAATGATATTTATTCGAAAACTTTGAACTTTAATAGGACTGCGGTGTATGCGAAAAGGTAAGTGCACTAGGTGTTGTATGTGTGTGTATTGCATGGTATGAATGACTGGCTAATATTACATTATAATTCCACTAATTCATGTGTTGAATTTAATGTTGATCTAGCATGCTGATTGATGTTTTTCTTCTAATTTGGAATTTAATGTTAACCCTATTAGGCAGTGGGTCGTTTGATTTCATGATTACTCAAAAAACGAGTATACGACAACATTTCGTTCTAGAGAAAAGCTGCGCTTGTAAAATTGGTTTAAGGTTGATCAACAGATTTGGATGTGTTTTGGAAACGGTTGTTGAAGTTCAGGCTTCTGCTTGACAACTAGCCCTAAGTTGTATCAGCTCCTTGTTTCATAAATATGTCCGTATTTCGGTCAAGCTTCATCTGGAACATTTATCAACTGACATTAAGATTTAACTGTCTAACTGTGAATTGTACAGAAGACCAGCACAGTCATGAAATTTAGTAGCTATCGTCATCGCAAGGGCTGTGAGTGTTTTGTTGTTCCGATCATTTGAACTTTGCATTCGGTTGTGTTTTATCTTTTTTCTTTTTTGTTCCGACCATTTGAAAAATGTGAAGGAATTTTGTATTCGGTTTTATTTTAGTTTTTTTTTGTTCCGACCATTTGAAAAATGTGGAGAAATTTTGTATTCGGTTGTGTTTGAGTTTTTTCTTTTTTGTTCCGACCATTGAAAAATGTGCAGGAACTTTGTATTCGGGTGTGTTTTAGTTTTTTGTTTTTGTTTTCCACGAAAAATCAGGTACCACAAATAATCATCAGAATGTGTCGAGAAAAACCGTTTTGAAATTTTTGATGTTTGGTCTAACTTCAAGCTAATAAGAGGAGCGTGAAGTTAAATAGCTTATTTAAGATAAAAGTAATCCCTGAAAACTTCGTGTTACTCGAGTAAAGTTAGTTTTTGGGTTTTTAGTGTCATTTTGGGAATCAAAAATTCAAAAAAAATTTCTTTGTTTTTCCAGTTATTTTTCTGCAAAAACTAATTTCAAATTGGCCTATTGGACTGACTGTCGATTATATAAAAAAAAACTCTTTGTATGTTTCAAGACTAAGGTAGGAACTTTCTGTGCTACTTGCACAGTAACCGGCTACCCTTGTTTTATTTGTTTTTGTTGTTAAGAGACTGGCCCAATTCGGAGACTGTGCCTGTGCTGGCGGATGCAGTAGACGTGGCCATCAGCCATGACCTATTCGTCTTCTTCGACATCAAAGACACTCATCAGCAGGTGCTCGATACCGATCAAATGAATAACAAACAATCATTCAACGAATATTTTATTTGGGAATGCAACCGAATAGCAAAACTGATTTTCCAAGGATATATTGAATGTCGTTAAGAGAAGATGTGCGATTGATCTTAAAAAATTCATTAGTAATCATGTATAGTATTGGCACAAAATACGTATCGGGCCAAACATCCCAATAAATGCCTTTACTGGTATTTGCAGCATTAGCGAATTATTGGATGTTTTTTTTCTAGCTAATCACTGTTTACCGCTAACTGGCACTGTTTTTTGAATGGTTATCAGACATCTAGTTATGGTCTCTCTTGATTGTTGGTTGTAATTTTAAGTCTCTAGACCACAGAACTTATTACCCTATCTTGTTTAAATTTGAACTGAATATTGGTTCATTATAACTGTTGTGATTTCAATAGACTTTGAAGCAACTGCTCGACCAGTTCAAACGATACCCACAGCTCTACAGTCGTTCTGTCATCTGTGCTTTCGACTTCCGCTTTCTATATAAAGTTAGTGTTTCATGTAATTCTTTGCTATAAGCGATTAAGTCCGATTTCTTCGGCATGAAATAGTTAAATAAAGTGAGCGATCTCTAAAATAGGAGGAAAAAATTATAGTGTAAAAAAAGAAATTAAAAGAATTGATCTCTCCTAAATAGCATGTAATGTTTTAAATGTATTAAATATATTCCTCACTGTATAACATGAATGATTGAAGGGATAGTCGTGAGACATATCATATCTATTGTCAACTTAATATCGAGCCTTGAACAGCAGAATAAAGTTTACCTGTTGATCCAGTTTTGTCTGAACGAATAAGTCATATAACAAAAAGTTCCACCATGAAAGTTATTTGAAATTCAAAGCGCCTAAACGTGATATATTTTTCTCTCCGAAAGTTGAGAATTGTGTGAGAATGGAAGTTTTCGAAAGTCGTAGACGTGAAGTTCATGATCTGCGATATTTTATTTTCCTTCTCCTTTTTACGCTTGCGCTTAGCAAGAGTTATCAAACCGGAATATGGACTTTTTTCGGGTTAACAACTTGTTTAACGAAATCACTTGAACCAATTGGTATCTTAGTGCCTATTAAATTCAAATTTATAAGCGTCTCCGGCACATTTAGTCTGGAGGCAACGAATGCGTCTGGGAAGACAGAGGTCCTGGGCTTGAAACTGACCGGACCTGTTTTTATTTCAAAGGGGAAATAGTCCGGTTCAAAAAAAAATTGTCGGCTTATTATTGTCTGCTTGTTTTGTTGGCCTAGTTGCCATATTGTAGAATTTTTTAAATATTTTTTTCTTATTATAGTTGCTTTTGATGTTTTGATTTAACTGTTTCTCTGCTGTTTTTACTTTTACTAAACTTGACTTCGTATATATTCTTGGTGACAGACGCTAAAAATGTTCTGAAGGCGCCTCCAATTTTTGTCTTTTTTGGCTTGTTCTTCCAAAATTCGCCTGCTACGCAAAATCTTTGCCATAAAAAGGGTCTTTTTAGTGCTTTGGGGAAGCTTGCAAAATCAATTTGGTCGACCTAAAAAAAGTTGACAAATTTTCCGAAAAATTTTAGAAAATCCACCCCCACTCGAAAAACCTAGATCCGCCCCTATATATATGTATGACCTGAATGAAGTATATTTTTTGTAAAATTTTTTTCGTAAAGCAAGAAATTGGACAAATGAAATGAATCAATCTCACCATAGACGAGAAAGTCATTTCGAATGGCAGGTTTCTAATCAGATGGGTGAAATTCATTTTAACCTAATTTGGAATTTTTGACATAACTCCAGTCAGTTTTTCTAACTCAGTTATCACTTTTCTGATAGGGTCCGAAAATGGCAAGTTTTAGCCCATTAAAACTTCTTATATTTGCCAAAGCAATTGTCCTACTTCGGAACAAGACTTTTTCTCTTTGAACAATGTTCTGTTTAATTTTCAAGAAATTAATTTCAACCCTCGTAACGTTTATGAAAGTTTCTAACAATTATAAATATACACGGAAGCATAGCATTGTTAGAAACCTAGATTACATTGAAAAAAAAACAAATTGATTTGATATCTTTACAAGTAAAACATTAAATCAAATTGTTCTTTTCAATGCTATCTAGGTTTCTAACAATTTTATGCTTGCGTATATATGTATAATAGTTAGAAACTTTGATAAACGTTACGAGGGTTGAAATCAATTTCTTGAAAATTAAACTGAACATTTTTCAAAGAGAAAAAGTCTTGTTCCGAAGTAGGACAATTGCTTTGGCAAATATAAGAAGTTTTAATGGGCTAAAACTTGCCATTTTCGGACCCTATCAAAAAAGTGATAACTGAGTTAGAAAAACTGACTTGAGTTATGTCAAAAATTCCAAATCTATACTATGTTTAAATGCGAGTGACAGCTATCTCCCATGTTTAAGAATAATAATTTTGCATGTTTAACGAAAGAATTTTTTCATGTTTAAGCTATGGCATATATTGCAATGCTTAAGAAAATTTTTCAGTTAGTTTTTCGCAAGGTCATTAATTTGTCAGTATTTTTTTCGAGGCCAAATTAAGTCTGTCTGTCTGTCTGTATAGCTGCCTTTTTAATTAATTTGATTATGTCTGTCTACCCGTCGCCTAATTTTTTATCTTTCATCTATTAACTATCTATCTATTATATATTGAAATGCGGGCTTACTATCTCGCCACGTTTAAGCTTTTTTCAACGTATTATTTTAGCTTGTTTCGCAATCGCCAGGGTACTCTGAGGGGTTGCGAATCTTGCCTCAAATTCTCACTTCTCAAAAATCCGTGTAGTTTTCGAGATATGACGTTTTTTATAATTTTTTTCAAAAATTTTTTCAAAAACTTTGAAAAAATTCCGAAAAGTTGAAGATCTCAATCCTGTTGTTGGATTTTGTGAACGTACTCTCAGGGGTTGCGAATCTTGCCTTTGATTATGGCTGCTCAAATCCTTGTAGTTTTCGAGATATGACGTTGTTTTTGACGTTGACTCAGAAAACTTAAGATATAAAAAAATTTCACAAAATTTGAAATTCTCATCTCTGTCGTGGTACTCTCAAGAGTTGCGAATTTTGCCTCCCAATAGGACTGCGAATTTCGCCTCCAAACAGGACTGCTCAAAATCTTGCAGTTTTCCAGATATGACGTTTTTTGTGATTTTTTTCAAAAAAAAAACTTTTCATGAAATTTAAATTAATTTTTTTTGAAAGTTTGAAATTCCTAACCTGTAGTTGGGGGGCTGTCAGAATATTCTCAGAGGTTGCAAATTCGGCCTCCAATTAAGAATGCCCAAATCATTTTTGTTTAAGAGAAACGACGATTTTTGTGATTTTTTGGAAATTTTCAGAAAATTCAAATTACCAAATTATTTGTTTAAGTGAAATTCCCAACCCTGTAGTTGTGTACTTTCAAAGATTGCGAATATTGCCATCAAAAAAGATTGCTCAAATTTTGGTAGTATCGAGATGTGAATTTTTCTGGTTTTTCTCTTACAAAATTTAAGGTGAAGTTTCTCAAAATTTGAATTTCCCAGCGTTGTAGTTGGGTACTGTAAGAGTACTCTCAGGAGTTGCAAATCTTGCGTCCAAATGCGACTGCTCAATTGCTTTCAGTGTCCCCAGATGTAACGTTTATTAGTTCATTTTAAATTTTTACTTACGAACCCTGTAATTGGGTGCTGTCAAAGAATAGTTTTTTTGAGTCGTTGAAAATTCGAATGTGCGGTATACGCTAGTAAGTTTTAAATGAATTCCAACCATCTGATTAGAAACCTGCTATTCGAAATGGCTATGGTGAGATTGATTCATTTCATTCGTCCAATTTCTTGCTTTACGAGGAAAGTTATACTAAAAATTTGATTCAAAAGAAAACGGAATACAATTTTGCTATCGTTCATTCAAAGTAGGTTGATGCAATAAGAGTTTTTTCTTGTTTGTTTGAAAGAATATTACCTTTCAGTTCCCAAAATGAATTGCTTGTGATTTTTTTTGAATGAGCGACTAGGGTCATTTTCGATTGTTTTTACAGTAGTTATTGCCTAGTTTCCAAATATATGGTCCGTTCCCGTGAGCAGTAGGACTTCATTTGCTATTTAGGTAAAGAGAATAGACCCTAATATAGCCGTAGTGCCTATATACTCGAAGTTCTCATGTCATGCTCTCGAGGGTTGTTCAAGCCTTTCCTTCTTGCTGTGGCTACTTCCGTGGACTGTGGTACAGATTTGTCTCTATATACTATTCTACTACGTCAACCCTCTCTGTCTTGACCACGACGTAGTCTCAGTCGACCATCGTCTCATTAGCGAGTCAGTAGAAATCAATTTTTCGTTTTATGATATTCACTAGCAAGTTAGGACATTTATTGTCTTCTAGTGTAATCGCTTATCGGGTCCTCTCGGCCACGCCCACTTTACGTATAAATTTGTCGCTGGCTTAAACGAATATAACTTTTATGGTGAATTAGATTCGTCGCTTTTACTGAAAATTTCTATAACGGAAATATAACCGAAAAGAGACCGTGTTTCTCTTCAAATGGTACAAAAAATTTCCATTTTTAAAAATTTCCGACGTGTTTAGTTCTACTTTCCTTTCGGTAAAGAATCTCGTTTAAACGGGAGACCCTCTTAGATGGTTTTTATGTATAATAGCGTCTATTAAGAGTGTAAATAAATGGGCCGCCGAAGTATGAACGGACTAAAAATGCGCTGAGTATATAACCCAGACGAAAAGTTAAGTCATTTGAAAGAAATGTGCATGACTGTTGTAACTGCAATCTAATCGTTACATAGTTATTATATAACAATTACGAACTTTCTGCTTGTTTATTCTTGGGCGGCTTCTTTTTACACCACCGTCTATTAATTGTTTTCATTTGATTTTCTAGTGGATTTCTGAGATGGGCGGATCAGTGGCGCAAGGAGGTGGTGGTGTGGACTGTGAACGATGACCAGAAGAAGTTCGAGTTCATCAAACACAAGCGACTATCAGTCATCACTGATAGCCACTCCATACGCACCAACTAGAGCACTCTCAAAAAACTTATTCATTTACTTGAATAAACATCAAGATGCAGAAAGAAGCAAGAGAGAAAAAAGAGTGGAAAATTAAGATGGTACTTTTTTGTCGAATTTGACAAACAGCAAATGGGGAAAATGTTCATGAAATGAAGCTTCAGAAAAATAATTTTTAATAATGCTATAAATTACTGTTGTTTAACAGGGGTGGATTTATATTTCTTAACGAGCTAAGTTACGCCATGTTTTGATTGATTGAAATCGATTAAATTGATTTTTATGTGCTGTACTCATACCCAACTAAGACCTTCCCCTCCCTTAATCCTCTCTTGATATAGATGCACTGCACAAATTACACGTGGTACGCGATTCCTCTTAGCTTTCACAGCTTTGTGTACTATACTTTGTATATTGAGAATCTGTTCATAGATACATAATAGTTTAGCCTCCTTGGCGAACTGCTAGTTACTTGAAGTTAGACTTAAATTTGAATTCAATTTTAAAATGCCTTTTTTTTACTTTGGAGTCTTCAAGAAAAGTAAAGCAAGCAAAATTGGTGATAGGTTTGCTTCGTTTCTAATCGAGTGGAGCCTATATTGTATTTTGATGCCTCTTCTGTCTCCGACTAAATTTGCAGATTTTTATGTTAAGTTTCAGAAGCGTCCATGCGTTATTTTAACATCTCAAGCTATCTAATTAACTTTTTATCCAACCCAAGTCGCAGATGAAAGTTTTGATTTATTTGGTGGCCCTTTTGCAATAGCAATATACCTGGATAACTTTTTCTGCCTAGCATTATATATTTGTATCTGTTTTATTGGTGTTAGTATTTTAACGGTTGCGATTAGCAAGCGTTCTCAAATCGGGACATGGACTTTTTCGGGTTAACAACTTGGTTAACAAAATCACTTTGTCTCCTGGTTCATAATGAATTCAAATTTGTAAGCGTCTCCGTCACATTTAGTCTGGAGGTTACGAAAACGCCTGGGACAGCAAAGGTCCTGGGTTCGAATCTGACCAGGACCTATTTTTTTTTCAAACGGAAAATATTCCGTTTCAAAAAAATTGACGGCTTATTATTTGTCTGCTTATGTTTTGTCGTCTTATTTGCCAAGTCTTAGAATTTTTTGCTGTATGAAGTTTTTATTGTAGTTGTTTTTATGCTTTCATTTACTCCTGCAATTTGTAATTGTACTAGCTTTGACTTCGTAAACTTTCCTTTCTAATTTTTTGTGCCTCAATAATTTCGGCTTATAAATTATCGGTTTTCTAACCTAATTTTGGGTCATTTGAGGACTTTGTATGTTTTTTTCCGGATCGGACAAAACGTTAGAACTCTCAGAATAGAATTTATATTTCAAAGTTTTTCATGACAACAATTCGTTTGTTAGCTAAAAAATGTTTCTGAATTTTCATTAAACGCCGTCAAATGCGTTTCTGGACGTGTTTCCCGCAAATAAAACATCATTCCAGGACTCATTCTGAAATTTTTTAGTTCAAGTTTCTTCGAAAAATTTTCCGATTTCTTTGGACTTTTCTTTTTTTTCCTGTCTGCTAGCTTGCAATGCTCTTTTTGTGTCTTTGGAACTGATGCGAAGCTCCGCTTCGCCTCTGTGTCGATAATTAAGCTGTTGTTGCGCAGATGCTAGGAGGCGTGACTCTCAACATCGAGGTCGAGGTTCAGGTCAGGCACAAAGCATATTTTGGCTCTTATCCATTTTATCATCCATCTCGTAAAATTACAAAAAAGAATTGTTGAAGAAATGTTCATACGGCGATTTGCATGTCAGAAAATTTCTTTTAACTGTTCACGCTCTAGCGTTTTTATCACTGTTAATAATGTCAAAAGTCGTTTCAGAAACAAAATAGAAGGGAGACTGGACATGAGCCCATATATTTTTATTAGTATCACTTTTCATGTTATTTTTTGAGTTTCGACCTTTTTAGATATAATTTTTGTTTTTTTTATCGTTTGTGTTTGCGAAGTCGCAGCTTCGCCTCTGCGTGATCGTTGAGAGAGGAGAATTGCCTTTGAGCAGCCGTGGCCGATTGGGATAGGCACACGTCTCTCACCACGAGGGTCATGCGTTCGAGTCCCACTTCAGTCACGGTTGGAGGGGTCCCAGTGTCATCCGCCTCTTCTTGGTGGGACCCGCTGCCTCGAAATGGAAGACATCACGCTCTCTTATGGTTGGTCCTGCCTTGAGCAGGACCGGGGCTTATAAAAAACTACCTTTTTCAAGATGTGTTTTTATGTGTAAAAGAAAGAAGTGCTTTCTATTTATATAGATCTTGATATTTTTTTTAATCGAATTTTTTCAAAATGGTCTTTTAACCACAAGTACATTATACATAATATTGCAGTTATGAATGTACTTAAGTACGTGCACTTTTGAGTTCAATTTCAGTCTGTTTGCTGAAAGGTAGGCAAATTGCGCTTTCCAAATACGAAAGTAGAAATTGCACCACAAAACATGATCGAATTCTAGTCACGAAATTGGGTTTTCTTGCGGAATAAAAAGTTTACCCTTTGATCCATTTTCTTTAAATTACGGTTAATTTTTGGAACAAGGTTCAATCATGAACACTTCTGGAATTTTAAAGAGCTTTAACCTGATATATTTTTTGTTCGGAACTTTTTTTTGGCTTTGTATTTCTAAATTTTTCCCATCTGTTGGCTATGCTCGTTGATTATCCTATTTTCACCTTTTCAGCTTGTGTTTTCCTGAATTATTATGTTTTCTGGAGTTAAGAGCTTATCTTCCTATTTCTAGCTTACATATACAGCTTAAACTCTGCTATTGGATTTTGATCGGATTGATACTTGGGTTTTGCGCTTGCGAAGGCAAGTGTTTTAAAATCAAGAACTAGTATTTTTGCTTGATGTTGTTCATCTTGTCATAAGCGGAAGAGGCGGTATCAATAACATCAATTTATCAAAATTTTTAATGGGACTTCATAGAAAATGTATCGCAATTGAGAACAGTTTTTTCTCCTGTTCTCCTCATTGAGATATACTAAAATTGTTCACAGAACAAATGGTATAATTTTTATATCGAAAACCATCAAAAACTACTAATAATTTTACTACTTTATTTTTGACGGCTTCTTTTCTGATTTGGGCAATTTTTACTTGCATTGAAAGTCATTTTGATTTGTTTTTGTGATGGTGCGGGTGACTGACTTCCGATAATTTTTGACCAAGGTTCTTTTTATATAGTACTTCTACGATTTACCTATTTTTTTATTTATTACTGATTTGTTTTTGTGATGGTGCGGGTAACTGACTTCCAATAATTTTTGACCAAGGTTCTTTTTATATACAATTTACCTATTTTTTATTTGTGGTTTTTTTGGCATATACCTTAAGTCACAAAAAGCAATGAATGGAGCCTTTGGTCCAAAACCAACTGAAACTGTGATTTAGTATTTTTTACAAAGTTTATTGAAAAAAAATCACGTTTAACTTTTTCATTACACTTGTGAGAGCAAATTTCTTCTCATCGGACGCAAGACTTTTTTCCCGTAATTAACTTTTCTTACAAATCTGCTTTTTTACGTTAATCTTAACAACTTCCAGTCTCCGTCCAACTTGGTCTAGAGGTAGCGTAGTTGCCGTTAAACCCTTTTTTCTTATATATATGGAATTGAATTCTTTTCCGGGAAAATAAACTCGTCGGCTTAGTGGCCACATCACGTATTTTTTTTGAGCTGTCAGCAAACTTCATTGTAATTGCAACTGTTGTTTGCCGTTGTTTGTATCCTGTAATTTGAAAATTCTTTAGCCCTGTTTTTGCAGTTCTTCATTTTTTTTGCCTTAAAATCTTTTTGGTCTAAATGGTTTCGGCTTTGTTTAATTAGGTTTCGGCTTTGTTTAATTAGGTTTCGGCTTTGTTTATTTTTTTGTCGCTTGAAGGGCAAAGCTTAATATCATCATTTTTTTCATTTATTTGAGATCGGTTATGATGTAAAATTTCAAAGTTTGATACTTTAATTCTTCTATTTTTTATTACAACAATTTCTGATTGCTTAATTAATGCTCATTTGGTAGCTGATGGCTTAATTAATGCTTATTTCGTAGCTAAGAAAAGCCAATTTTGCATCAACTATTTTTTTCTGCTCAATCATTTTCTATTCACTAGCTGGCAATGCTACGCTTGCGTTGAATCGCATGTGACGCGAAGCTCCGCTGTGTAAATGATTCCATCGCCTGTGTTTTGAGGTTCTCAAATGAGGTTTTGTGACTTCAGAGTGTAATAGAGAAGAGTTTGCTCGCATTCATGCAAAAAAAACATGCATTTTCAGATTTTTGCAACATAGGATTAAAATGCAGTGTTTTAAATATTCATTGTTTTCTTCACGAATGCATTACATATCGCTGTTTTAGTACATGTTTTAGGAAGCTTTTTTAAGTTCAACAATTTATTTGAAGCACCATAGGTGCTAGTCATGCGCTAGTTTGTTTGACAGATTGGAGCAAACAGGTGTTTGATCTGGATACTTCAGCGGTGGCATCTCTCCAGTTGAGCAATCTTTCTTTTCAGTATTTATCGTCTTTCTCTGAACTGGTTTAATAAATTTATCTCCACAATTAGGCTGTATCGTCAAACGAAGGGGTGGTTGATTGATGCTTGAATTTCTATCATCCACAGTTTTTATGAAGGTGCAGAGCATCGTACCTGCGTATTGTATGGTTGTATCGTTTCTCTTTATCAAATCGATTCGTATATATGCATCATATCTATATATTGCAGTCATGTATCGTGTCAATGTAATTTAAAATTATGGTACCTTGCCGTATCTGTATTGTATCTTTGTATCATATCTATATATCGTATCTATGCATCGTGTTAAGGTATCGTGCCTAAGTCTGGGACCTATGAACGTTGAGTCTTGAGCAATCTTTTACCCTATGATTTAACAATAACTCACGGCGAGCTCATGTTAAAATAAAAACATTTTAAATCACTACATTTTTGGAGAGAAAACAACTGCACTGTTTTTTTTTCGATCGAAACAGATGTATGTAACCTTTAAGGGTTTGGTTGATATTCTGCGTCAGGACCACAGACGACGTGGCAGAGGGAAGTATGAAGTTTCCTTTAAAAAGAGTTGAGTTTTTAAGGAAGTTTTTATGCCCTTCGAGTTCGCCTTAATCCTAGAACGCAAGTCATCCTGGAAAATTATTAGTGAAAAGTAAAAATATCAGTGGATGTGGAAAAGACTTTTGAGGCACCCCTCATTAAATTGTTTATTCGATTGATTTTTCCCCTGGCTTATCAAAAACTTTTTTCGATTGCAAAGATAAAGTCTAAGTAATGCATTTAATTTACAGCGAAAACCGTACCTCTCTAGTTCTGTAACAAAAGTTTTCGATCAATTGTATCAAAAGTTTTTTGAATTCAATTAAAGCTTTATGGCAAGTATCTTTCTGCCTCATTACGTCCGAAAAAGTTTTTGTGCGCGTGAAAAGGGACTTAACCGTTTTTATAAGTTAAGAATTTTTTGAATTTCTTTTCGGCATGAAGGGTTTTTGCTCAGGTTTTTTTCCGCTTTGTTAGCGCTTGGTAACTATGAATTCAAATCCTATCAAGCATTCGGTGCATCTGGCGTAGTGGTAAAACAACTGCTTGAGACGGCGAAGATCCGGCCGGGCCCTTTTTAAACTAGAGTTTTTGTGCTTTTTTTCGGACCATCGTCCGTCTGTTTATTTTTGTCGGCTTAGTTCCCGTAGTTCGATGCTCTATCTTTATTCCAAGTTGCTGCAACCCCCATGCTTGAGAAGACAAAGACCGGGTATACGATTTCAGTTGAGACTTGTTTTTCTTGCAAGTAAAAAATTTTGGCTTATATAGATTATTGTCTGTCTGCTTATTTCCGCAGAAAGGACTTTTTGAAAACTTGGCTTCTGTATAGCATTCCCCAAGCTCGTTGTATATTTTCTAATGATGCAGTCAATTTTTTTCCGGATATTTTAAATGATTTTTTGAATTTTTCCGTTTGATTTTCATAGTCATTCATATTTGTATCGCAAGTGGTGCAAAGCGATACTAGGTTTAGATAGTTCATGTTTTAAAGGGAGCAATTCAAACCAGCCCATAAGAACTTTTTGATTTGAGAAGCTGCGTGTGAAGTTATCAACGGAAACATCATGATCCGATATAAAATTATCAATGCAGGTTGCTGAAGTTTTTGTTTCTCTAGTAAAGTCCCTACTCTGCGCAAATAAATCAAATGGTTCGACAATCAAGGTCTTTTCTAGAGATAATCTATCTTTTAAAATGTTAATGTTCGTATCTACAACAAGAAATAGCTTTCATTGAAGGTTTTTCAATCTAATAAATAGGTCTTTAAATGGTTCCAGAAAAACTTTCAAGTTTTCAGAAGGTGGTCGTTCAATGACACAAGGTCGTCCACATCTCTAGGTTTGTAAGTACCATTTGATTCCTTCACAAACATTAGAACTTGACATTTTTGCTAGTGTTCGCTAAATTAAACTCAACGCATTTCTGTTATTGGTATTTTTTTGAAGAAAAAAAAACAGTTTCACGTTTTTTTTGTTGTTGTAAGTCATTTTGATACTCTTCACTAAAAAGTTGACATGTAACTAAACATGTAACTAAGTTGACATGGAATTTTGAAAAGAATTTTTACCTCTGCCGCTGATGAAAAACAGAACATAATAGTCCTGGGACAACAGTCCTGGGAAAATTTATCCTTGTTTACTTTTTGCCCAGATAAAAAGCAGAGTAAAACATGAACTTACTAGTTAGTTAAATCTGATGTTTTACTTAAGCAGAACTGATAACCTCCGTGTCTTTAGTCCAGCATGCCATCTTGTTCATTATTTGAGCATTTGAATGTTATCTTCAGGGAAATCTTCAAAATATTTTGATCTTAGCGGATTATTTTGAGTACAATTTAACCCTAACAGATTGTCTTCTAATTTAATCATTAAGGGTTTATTTGGAATAAGTTTTAATAACCATAACGGTTTATTTTGAGTTAAACTTATTTATAGCGGAATATTTTTAGTAGCATTCAATCATAAAGAACTATTTTGAGTCTGATTCAGTAATGACAAATAATTTTGAGTAGAATTTAATCAAAATTGAATATTTTAAGTACAATTTTGTTATAACGGTTTTTAGTATGATGTAATAACGGACTATAAAAGAGAATGGTGTTTTGACGGAATTTTTTTTCTGACCCGCTGAGAGTTTGCTCTGAGATAGTCAGAATTGGCTGGAAAAGTCAGCTCTACGCCTTAGTTCATTCTCATTTTTTTTGCATTTGGTCGAAACAATAGTAGCTTTTTAGCTTATTTAAATTCCGTGAAAGAACTGACTGAGCTTCCGACTGAAAAATTCTATTGAGGTATGTTGTCTTTTCAGATGGTTTTGCGTTCCTGAAAGATGCTAGTTTGAGTCAAGGGACTTCTCGAGTCACTTACTACAGCTATAAAGCTTAGATAAGAGCCTCTTACTGAACCATCTATGGAGCTGTTTGGCTTGAATGGTCTCTGGATGTACAACGCAGATGCTCCCAGCTGCATCGATTATGCAATTACTGGTCTCGAGTTGTTTTCCACGATAAAGGCTCCAGAGCTAGCTCTGTCATGTGAGTTTCTCGTCTGGTTGACAGCTTTGGATAAACTAATAAGATAACATGTATGTTAAGCTTGTAAACGTGAGGAAATACTTTCTCTTAGAGCATGTTCTGGATATTTTTTTGGGGGGGACTGATTTTATTATAACTGTTTTAAGTTCTTGTGAACCGCTGTTTGAGTTAGCGGATTTTTTCCGCCTGCCCCCAAAATTTATGGCAAGTGGCAAAAATTTGGGGAGGGGGGGGGGGGGGGGGGGTTGGAATTCGACTTCTTTTCCAACCAAAAAGGTCCCTCTTTGGTATTTTTGATGACATCCATGTTGGGCCGACCATAAAATTATTTTAAAGGCGCCAATATATACTAATTTTGAAGGGATCGCGCGCCGAAAAACGGATTTTTTCAATCAAAATCTTTTTGACCTGTTTTTTTTTTCAAAAATTTGCCTGTAGCGCAAAATTTTTGGCCAAAATGGAGTCTTTATAGTGTTCTGTGAGTGCTTGGAAAATCAATTCAGTCGAACTAAAAAATGGTCGACAAAATTTTTGAAAAATTTCTGAAAATCCGCTCCCCCCTAGATATAAAAATCCTAGAAAAATCCATAGAAAATCCTAGATCCGACCTTGTTATATAATAATGGCTTAGAAGATTTCTAGGAAAAGGTAATGAATACCTCTTCGAAAATTCTTTGTGACATCCATTTTACCTGAACGACCCCAAGTAAATTTCAGTTTTGATTTAAGACTAATGAGCTCGCAAAAAAAAAACGGAAGCGCTAAAAATGGTTTTCCCCTATTTTTCTACAAACGTGCAGGCGGCAAAGAATTCAATATTAGACCTGCTTGGAAATACAATCTTAAGGAAATACAATCTTGAGCAATCTCTTGTCGTCCCCTCCCTCACATCAATTTGTGCCAAAAAACCTACAGCGTCCTTGTAATGTCTGGAATTGCTCATTTTTTTATTCAAAACGAAAAAGCCGGTTTTTTGAGCAAATAGTTTGGCCATTTTTAGAGCGAATCTAGTTTTTGGGTTTCCATAATGTGATTTTTGGTTCTCTGCGTTTGTTCGAGAATGGGGAGGGTGAATAGGAGCGGATTACTTAAGGAGGGATTACTTGTTGTACGGCAAGCTTTCACTAAGAGAAGACACGTTTGCCTCAAGTTGGTCTAATTATTTTGGTATTAACTGTTATCGATGTGTTGCAGCTAGCTGTACTTCAAACTTCAAAGAAGATCTTTAAATTGGTTCCACAAAGGGAACCTTCTTCACCTTTTACTCTGGTAGTTTGTAGCTAATACTGCAGCATCTACAGCAGCATCAAGCAACAACAACAACTTCCTTTACTTAGAATAGACTACTGGTATCTCTGCAAATATATTTAAGGAAAAATTCATTCAAAAAGTCTTTTCTTTTTGTTTTTACTATGATGGACGTCTAAATTTCTGTGAATAAGGTATCACACTATCATCACACAATCTCGCTGTGAGGTACCTGAAAACGAACAAAAAATGCTCTCAACGCAAAGGGTCAATTTTTAGTCGTAGTTTTTGAAAGATACATTTTCTTGTACCAAAACTTTACTTTGCGAGAATCAATTTCTGCCTACCGACTATTTGGATCTAATAGGACCTGATTCGTCCACTTCTGTAAAATTTTTAATCAGCCTGAAATTCAATAAAGAGATATTTGGTTTCAAATATCTCATATTCATAGGAGATCGGTTTCTCGTGACTTTCTTAAAAACGCTACTGTAATGCTACTTCTGGTTCAATTGCTGATGACTGATGAAAACTTTATATTCAATTTCGAACTAAAAGAATACCAAATGTTTCCGTAAATAAGGATTTTTCACCTAGTAGCCTTTGATATTCAATAGTTAAGTCGCACACTGTGAGATTGATCGGAAACTTTTGTACCGGTAGAATTCAGTTATTTTTCAAAGTGCAATGTTTTTTTCTCCTTTTTGACCCCGTTGAAGATATATTCCGTTTTTCGTTGCTGTTAGTGAAGGACAGCTTTGCTTCTGTGTATCAATTTTTGAATCTCAGTATATGTCTCCTAGGCTGTTGTAGTTCCGACGGGCTTGGCGATGTAGGGGGCAATAAATCACGCGTATACATTACGAGGCCAAATTGTGCTTAAAACAAGGTTTTGTCGGTTCCGCATTTGAAATATTTTTTGGCGCGTAATCAGGAGCCGCAGAAAAAAATAAAGGCACAGTTTTTAAGCTATCTCAGTCGTGATTCAAGCTGCAAAAAAGTTCAGAGAAACTTTACAGAAATAATATGGCGATATTTTTAGGAGAAAGGAGCTACTCAAATGTTTTTCGTTCCGCTATATCATATACGCATTTCTGATTGAAAAACTTTTAATTGGAATATAAAGAATGATCTCAACTACCCTCTATGAAATTCAATAAATAGCGTTAAATACTTGCAGTTGTTGTGTTTGAAGATAACAACTTTTGTCAATTACAGTAAGTTTTTACCTTGGCATGTAAGATCAGAAGAAAAATATCATAATTAGCAAATACTAGTTTTTCGCGCAGTTTGCCCTCAACTAGTTTGAGCGAAATGTAGTACTTGTTTATTTGGCTGAGCGACAAAAGCCCCCGAGTCAAAAGCCCCCCTTGCTTTTGCATGTAGGTGTTCATGTACATATAACTTTTGCGCCGGGGGCTTTTGACTCGGGGGCTTTTGACGCTCAGCGGTTTATTTGATTAAATTTTTGACGCCGTTGAAAAAAAATTAAATGTTGCATGTTAATGCACCCCAGCGGATTTAGGGAAAAGGGCGTCCAGCAACCCCCCCCCCTCTAAATTAAATTTAATGGTGTGCATTAACATGCAACATTTAGTTTTTCAACGGCGTAAAAATTTTATCAAATAAACGTACTACATTTTGTTCAAACTAATTGAAGCAAACTGCGCGAAAGACTAAGTGTTTGCTGATATTTTTCTAAGCAATTATGATATTTTTCTAATCTTCCATGCCAAGGTAAAAACTTAATGTTATTGAAAACAATTGTTATTTTCTGGCACGAAAAGTTTTTAACGCTAATTCGATCCCCTGCCAACCCAAAGGAATTACTGACCCTAAAATTTTTTAAAGACGTCTTGGGCGCCAAAATATACAAGTTTTTTTGGGGGGGGGGGGGGTCAAAAAAACGTGATTTTTTGTTCTAAATTTTCCAAAAATTGCCTAAAAACGTCTTTTTTGGCCTGTTTTTTCAAAAAATCGCCCGCAACAAAAGTTTTTTTTTTGAAAATACGCCCCCTTCGAGAAAATCCTAGATCCGCCCCTGTTAATGCATATGACGAAAACTGGCATTTTGAAGTAGAAAATATTGTTTCGCATTATTTTATTTACCCTTCTCCATTTTTTTTTGCAAAGATAACTGTAGTCCGAGTATTTCTTGCTGATTGCTAAGCAGCCGGCAATTCGTGTTCGTTACTGACTTTTGTCATTGACTTCGCTTCTGACTTAATCGACTGATATGCTTGATTTGGCTCCAGCTGCCGCCTTTACTGGTTTAAGATTTTCTAGAATTTGACTTAGAAGCTTCCGTCTTGCACAAAGCAGATGTATGGAGTCCAAGGAACGTTTGAAAATCTTAATTAATCTTCACTTATCATCGAAATCATCATGAGCAGTTCTCTTGCTCGCTCTCGCTCGCTCTCTCTCCTCAAATCAATGAACTTTCTGAATCGTACTGAAGTCCAGTCTCTAGAAGACACTTGAATATGCTGCAGATCTCAACTCAGAATAGCGGAGAAAGTATTCAAAAACACGGTACGCCTTACTTGACTGCAATTATTTGCTCAACAGATCTATACATATGCCTACAATGTGGTTGCAACAAAATACGAAAACAATTTTTGAGAATTGTTTCATTGTACTATGAAGATGGATCCAATGTATTGTCCGTAGAGTTATAACTTGTTTATCTGAAGCTTTTTGTTCGTAAAGTTATTACTGGTAATTGAATTGACGCAAAACTATCTTTTCAGTAGTTGGTACTAGTTTAAATCATAGAGCTCGCGAATTCATAGCGATGCCTTAACTGCCCGATTTTTAATCTTTGGTGGCCATATAAAATTTGTGCCTTGTTCCGAAACAAACTTCGGCCTTGGTTGTTTTTAGTTCCCAGAGGGAAGGCTAGGAATGTAAGCCTTATGTTTTTTGGCCTTGTGGCTTTTTTGCTTTCTGTGTACTCCAATGTCTTTAATATCCTTTTTGTTTTAGTAGTCCTTTTTAAACATTTTCTGTGCAAAGGTTTTGAATTTATTTGTTTTTATCATTTAAGAGAACGACAATTTTTTTGAGGAAAATGGGACAACAAAAGTATAATTTTTCGAATTATTATTAACTTTTTTCATTATTTTCTAGGTGACCACGGTATGAGTGCGGCCAGTGCCATCAAGGCGAAGCAAGATCTATTGGTGTCATTTCAGTGCCAAAAAATTTGGCAGCAATTATTTACTAAATCATTAAAAGCATGCTGGCTGGCTTTACTTTAAAAGCATGCTACTAAGCATGCTGGCTGGCTTTACTTGCTCGAAATTGGACGAAAAATCAAAAACTTCAAACCCATTTTTCTCAAATCTGGAAAAATATTTGGAATGTCGTCCGAACTATGAATGAAAGGGCTTTAATATGGTATATCACTCGATTCATTCCGAATAATTTTTGTTGTACCTGATTTTGGCGTGGAAAATTGAAACTCACGAAAGCAAAGTTCCTCCACATTTTTCAATTGATCCCATCCGTCCCTGATCACAAGATCATTCAGTAAACTAAGAAAGGTACTGTAAATAACCCTTATTGAAAATAACCCAAACAAATGCCAGTTGTGTTTCTCGATTCAAATGAACTCGCCTATCCCTGAAATTGACTGTAATCAATATTCTGAAAGTTTTTTTTTCGAAATTGAAGAGAAAGTTGTTCGGAGGTTATCTTAAACATGTAATAACATCAGTAGTAGAGAGTGTTAGTTGCCCATAAGACGTTTTTAAGCAACTGTTTCCGAGAGTGAATAACGCTTTCAGATATGTCATTAATAGGCTTAAGTCGCATATGCGGGACTCACGTGATGCGTTAACAACAATCCAAAAAAAATCAGAATGAACATTTTTTTGTGGTTGGTGCATGTGCTCCGCAAATGCCACGCCATTGAAGGCTTCAAAAGGAAGTTTACCGGATCGAACAGCCTTTAATAAAGCTTAATGCCGCTGCGCTCAACCCTATTATTTATAATATTTACGCTGCGAAGCCCGGCCTCCAAGCCTCAGTGAATCCGATGTCTTCAAATGGCTTGGACTATTCGTCACGGAAATGCAGGGTTCAGCCAAAAATTTCAAGGATGTATCGTCATTTAATCTAAAAGGCTGATTTAAATCATCTTATCATCAATTTTTTCCCCATGAGGTTCAAATAATACAGTTGTGTTTCTTAGAGCTCAGTGGTATGAGCAAAAAAAAAGTCTGTCGAATTTGTCAAATTGGCGTTGAAAAACCGGTTCCTGTGAAGAGGGCTCTAGAGCTCCAAGGCAAGCGAATCCAAGGATGCTGTAAGAAAAATCAGCTTTTTTGGTCCTGAGGCATGAGTCTTAGTCCAGCAAAATTAGCAGAAGCAGTAACACTAACACAAAGGCTACTTCATCGAGCAAACCTATCCCAAGTAGCTGAACGCCTTCGAGCTCCACCTCGAACTCGCCGCTCCAAAAGAACGCACCAGTTGAACAAGACAACTGGTCAAAAACAGCCAGACTTCGAAAAAAAGCTGCAATTGCACGAAGTGTCAATTTTCTTCTAAAAAAGAGTTGCAAAGCATAAGCTCAAGATATCTACGAAAACAAAAAAATTTAAAAAGAGCAAAAACGCAGCTAAACATGAGATGAGGGACAGATATCTGTTTAGTCATCCGGGTATCATGTATGAAAATAAAACTTGCATTTAAAAAGTAGCTTGTCTTAAAATTTCGGTTGCTTTGTGTTTGAGTTGAAAAAAAATCAATGTCTTAAAACTTCGTAATTTAATTCAACCTGAAGTTTTAAAAGATATGTTTTTTGTTCATAGTTTTTCGACACAAAAGTTTAAGCCTACAAACTAAAATTTGAAGAAAAAAATTGACTAAAACAATTTAATCTATCTTTTCAGTCTGTTTTTAATCTATTGCTTTTGTCTGTCTTTTTATCTATTTATCTGTATTTTCAGCTTACTTTTTAGTTCATCTTTTTCAGCTATATTTTTTTATCTATCTTATAATCATTGGCTCATAAAGATCTATTTTTCAGAAAATTTTTTTGCTACCCTACCACATGGTTCAGCCAATGTAGAGAGTTGTTTTTTTTGGTCAACAAAGATTTGATTGGTGAAAACTAACAGCTCGTATCGTTGGTGGCATTGCGAAGATTAGAGACGGGCTTCAAGATACTGGGGGTATGGGAGTTTTATTAAGTTTGATACCACGAAAAAAGTTTGTACTTCAGTTCGTGGCGCAAAAACAAGATAGGAAAACTACTTAAAGATCAAAGAAATGGATATGAAAACCACACTGAAACGAAAAAAAAATCTTTATCTGCCAAAATCAAACGTGCTTTTGGCGCATGAATAAGTAGTCAAAGCGGAGCGAGAGAAATTGCTCGAGTTTGTCATGAAACCGAATGCATTTCCTGACCAAGCGAAGTTCAAACGGTCAGAGAATATGAGTCTTTCAAAAATTGAGGTGTGAAACCTTCGAAAGCTTTAAAGTTTGAAGAAAAAATTTTGGTACTTACCCTAGCGTTCAGCAAGGTTATGGCAACCGAGTACTAGATTTTTTTTCCGTAGAAAACTTTGTTCAGAGAATGGTAAGTATTTTGAAAATAGTTTGAAATGGTAAATTTACAATTATACAGCTATTTGTTTTGCAGCTATAGGGCTTGTATTGTAGCCGTTAGATGTAAATCTGTTATGATTTCATGCTAAAAAAATTTTGGCTGTTTTTTTGCTTATTAAGTGGCTTATTATTTGTTGGCTTTAATTACGTCGGCTTATTTGTCTAATGTTTGTTATTTGTTTCGTCGTTGTTTATATGAACTCAACTTTGATGAAGTATGTTTGGAATTTTAAAATATCTTCTTCCTTCTGTAAAAAATGAACAAATCATGAAAAAAATTTCGAAGGTAATTGAAGTCATGAGTTTATTCCCAAGTTTCTTGGTTTAATTTTCAATCAAGTTTTGTTAATTGATTTTTATGTTGCTTTCTAGCCTATATATTTTTTTAGAACGATATTTTTTTTCAGCATTACACTCAGTATTAGAGAAACTTAATTGCTATCAGATCACAAACTACCTTAAGTCATTTTTATTCGTGTTTTGCTCGTAATTTTCAGAATTTTTAATTTGGGTTGTTTTTTCTTTTTGTTCCTAGTAGGCTTAATGTTTTTCTTTCGTTCTGGATAGTTGTTTTTTTTTTTTCATTTCAATTGCAAGCAGGCTAAAGTGATTTAGGTTTTTCGTTTTTATACTTATCAAAACTTAATGATAGCGGAAAAATAGAAATAGACGACAGTTTTTAACCAGCATTTTTCATTTGGATAGTTTTTTTGTCGAAGTTTGTTTGGACTCAGCTCAGAGCAACTTTGCGTCCTAATTTTTCTTGATATCTGAAAATTTTTGTTCCTAATTGATTCAAATTAATAACGCATCGAGTTTTCGAAAAACTTTCTGCTTTTGAAAAATCCGAGGCTTGGATACTCCAGGACCATTTATCCCGCTTTTTCTGTTTAGTTACTGCTCGGTAATTTTCTAGGTTTCTTCAATGCTGTTTTGTCCTAGTTTTTATCAAAGTGAGTTTCGTTTTGAGACAAGCATGTAACTTTTTGAGAATTGTTTTTTTTTGGCATTTTTTCACTATTCCGTGGCTTTCTGTATCGCAAGTGGCGCAAAGCTCTGCTTCGCCTCTGTGTATAATTTTTGAAACAATGATCTTTGAAATTGTTTCTTGAAAAATTGTTCGGGGAATATAGTTTACGAAACGCTTGTTAATTGTTCTGAATATTGTGTTAAACAGAGAAAAAAGCTATTTTCCAGTAATTATCAATGAACGACAATCATTTTTGCCCTTGCCAGTGCCGTCAGCGCTAGCAATTTTTTCGATACCGTGGCCAACCTTTTATTTGTAGTTTCCCTTGCGACATGCAAAGGTGTTGCAATCGTCTACCAGACTTATTAGTAATTACGGCGTCTCCACTTTTAAGATCTCCATTTGTAGCCAAATTTGTTCTTAGCAGCTGTAGTTTAACAGCTGGTCTAGCGCTACTGAAGTGATTAAAACACTGATCTTTGAAATTGTTTATTGAAAATGCTGTTTTGTCCTAGTTTTTATCAAAGTGAGTTTCGTTTTGAGACAAGCATGTAACTTTTTGAGAATTGTATTTTTTTGGAATTTTTTCACTATTCCGTGGCTTTCTGTATCGCAAGTGGCGCAAAGCTCTGCTTCGCCTCTGTGTATACTTTTTGAAACAATGATCTTTGAAATTGTTTCTTGAAAAATTGTTCGGGGAATATTGTTGACGAAAAGCTTTTTAATTGTGCTGAATGTGTTAAATAGAGAAAAAAGCTATTTTTCGAGTGATTGTCAATGAACGGCATTCATTTTTATCCTTTGCCAGTGCAGTCAGCGCTAGCATTTTTTTCGATACCACGGCAACCCTTTTATTTGTAGTTTCCCTAGCGACATGCAAAGGCGTTGCAGTCGTCTACTAGACTTATTAGTAATTACAGGGTCTACAATTTTAAGATCTCCATTTGTAGCCAAATTGGGTTTTAACAGCTGTAGTTTAACAGCTGGTTTAGCGCTACTACTGAAGTGATACTGGGTCAGCAGATGAAAAGTGTTCATGTATAAATAGATTTTTTATTGGCTTTTTTTTATTGTCCCAATTTTTGTCGACTTACTTCCGGGGTTTTTTTCTTACTTTTTTGTCTTCATTTTTCAGAGGGTAAGTTAAATTCATGGTTTCCTGGTTTTTATGCACGCCAGTTTTTAAATTGTTTTCTAACTCTAAAATTTGGAGTTTTATTTTGTTTAATATGTTTTAGGATGGAGAAATTTCATTTAAAGTTGATTTAGGTTGATGGCATAGCGTATTGTTTTTAATGTCAAAGTTTTTTTCAACGATAACATAAATATTTTTTCCTTTTATGTCTTGACTGTTTTGTCTGCGAAGATACGTGGCGAGTTACGAGATTCAGTAGTGTGGTTCTTTCTGACGGAAGTTAGAATAAGTGATTTTTCGTTTCCTTATAGGTCTTATTATTTTTTTTGCTGTGATCCAGCTCTCTTTTATTTGCGTATCATCTTCATATTGACAAGTTGATGAAATTGCTCTGTTATTTTTTCTGGCGCTGAGAGTTTTTTCAGGTCTTCTGCAAGTTCTTTTTTGTGGAAATGGTTCGAAACTTTGGCATTCATTTTTTTGCTATTTCCAATTTATTCTTTCATTTTGATCTTAGTTTATAGCAAACAACGGACAGGGCCTTTTTTATTGCTAATTGTTCCTGTAGGATACGCAGGTTGTTTGGATGCAGGATTTTAAGCAAAGTTCTAACGGCTTTTTTGTTGGCAAGTGTTTGTGTATTTTCAAATTACCATAGAGCAGTTGTGAGTGCGCGAGACGCCTAATCTCCAGGTCGGCGGTTCGTTTACGCCACTTAGCAAAAGTTTTCAAGGCTTTTTTGCCTTTCCTATTGCCAAATATTATCTTAAATAGATGGTAGTATTCCAAATTTTGTCTCAAATAAAGGCAGTATCAATTGCTAGCAATTTCAATTGTTTTTTTTTTCAGGTACAATAATGAGAGTATAGTTAGGATATGAGTGTACGTTGGAGATTAAAATCAAGAAATGTCCCAACAGTGATACAGAAATGGAGCGTTTTGACGGAAAATACGAATCATCTCAAAATTGGAGACTAAATGCGCGCAAAAATCACTCAATGTTTGGATGTGAGACTGGGAAGTATGATGATGATTTTCTTGGAACGCCTTCTATTAGAAGAAGATCCGACCATAGAAAACAGAGAACAAAAGCAAAAGTCAACAGTGAACGTAAAAGTTATCATATTAAATCTAAACAAAACCAAAGATATTCAGAACCAAATATAGTCCATCGAAAAAGAGGTTCTGAGTACCTGGATCAAAGTCGGCACCCCAGAAACATTTATATCAGTATAAGGGAGAAACGTCATGCAAATAGACACAGAAGCAAGTACGTTCCTGCGCCGTCTGATATTTCAAGCAAAGAAACAAAACTGCAAACTCGCGAAAGTGTAAGATCGCCCTCAAATAGTCGCTCAACTTTCTGGCCACTTTCAGACGATAAAACAAAGCAAAATCTCGAATACCGTACAAATAGTGCTAATGCTTCACATAAAAAATTAAAATTATCGGGAAATGTTCAACCAGCAAGAATATTATTTCGGCAAGATGCCGAAAAGATTGATCGAACTCAAGTAAATGAGCCGCAGACTAAAGTACAGGGGTTTGGGACACTTTTAGAAGCTGCTACGGATCATAATTGTATGCGGCAGTCGAACCTACAAAATACACATAATAAGGTGTCCTTGTCACCAAAAATTGTGACATCCGAATGTCCCGGAGACAAAATAGGCAACGCTCAGCCGTGGTCGAGAAATCCTTGCCCTGTATTTTACAACAATAAAGACTCGTTCAAAATGCCAGATGCATCTAAATTAAATGTTGGCAATCATAAGAATCATAGCGACAGTTTGGCTCGAACTTCATCGGAACATTATCTGGCAGCTGAATCGAATGAATCAATTTCTGAAGGCCCTGAAGCAAAAATGCGGAAAGAGTCGTCCAGTAAAATGAGGGACGAAAACAAATTGGAATGCAATCAAAAGTCTGCCTATAAATGTAAAATATCCGTTAGTCAACGTTATTCGGATAGACTAAAATCGTCGAATGAATCATCTAACAGTCGTGTTCGACATCGAGAAACAAAAGAGAAAGAGTCGGAAAGACAAAGATTACACCGAGAGCGATTAAAAGAGACACGCCAAAAATCCGATCAAAGTTCAAATCGTGTCGTTTCTGTATTACATGAAAAAGACGATATCAAAGAAAGAAATGTCGCAGTAACGGGTGAAGTAAAAACACCAAAAGCAGAAATGCGAGATGAAAAATCTGATCACGGATCGATTCCACTTCCTCAAAGTGACAAAACAGAAGAAAAACTAAAAGTTTTTATTCCAGCCGTTGACATACCAATACAAGGTAGAGATATGGGATTCACTTTATATACAGTTTTGACCAGTTATTGAGAGTTTTTAATAAAAAATCTTGATTATGTAGATTGTATTTGTCGAGCTCATAAATTTGCTTTAAGACTGATCAAGTGTTTCTTGCTTTAGAGCAAAGTGTTCTGAACAACTACGAAGAGTCTATTTCCTTGACAGCGGATGAGTTTCTGGTTTACGGAGTTGGCGATATTTCCAAAGTTTCATCAAAAGCTACACTGGATGAAAATAAACGATTGAAACTCCGTAACTGCGGGCGACCCTCGAAAGCCCTAGAGAAACTCAAAGAACATGAGGTTAAATTCCACAAGGTTGAGTTGTTCAAATCAGTGCCGATGGGAGCTCGTCGGTCTGAAAATAGAATATTTGCTCACGGAATCGAAGCAGTTTACGCAGTTCCTAAAGTTTGTGCAATAGCGTACGGTTAGTTGAAATGAGGTGCTGGAAGAATTTGTTGCTGTTTTTTTTTAAGTAGTGTGATTTTCTTTTTGATTTCAAAAAAAATTGCTCACTCTGAAGTTTGTTTTTGCCGTCTGACTTGCGATTTCTGCCATACTTCACTTCAAATTCATTTAGCAAATGAAGGCAAACTGCTCTCTTCAATCACAAAGGTGCAAATGGCGCGAAATAAAGAGACTAATTTCTGGTTTCAAAATAAAACAATAATTCTTAGATTTTTGCGTCGAAAGGAAAAATTATTGCTTTTAAGATTAGCAAGCGTTATCAAATGAGAACATGGAAAGTTTTCAAGGCCAAAAAACTTATTTAACAAAATATCTTGAGTAATTTGGTCAACTCCGTGGTTTCATCAACAAAAATTATGTTTTGAGCTTGACTCAATTAATAATACACTTTCTACTACCTTAATTTTAGTTGGTGGTAATTTTTTCGATTCTGTCTATTTTGGTTTTCGTTTTTATCCCTTATATATGGATTGGTTGACTCCTTTTGCGTCGTTCGATGACAAAAGTGTTTCATATAAATGTGTGGGTGTGTGTAGGGGTGTGTGTATGTGTGTGGATGTTTGTTTGGGTGGGCGTGTGTGTGGGTGTGTGTGTTTATGTGGGTATGGGTGTGTGTGTGTGTGGATGTTTGTTTACGTGAGCGTGTTTGTGTGTGTTTATGTGGGTTTGTGTGGGTAGGGGCGTGGTTGTGTGTGTGTGGTTGTGTTTGTGTGTGTGTGTGTGTGTGTGTTGGTGGGTATTTGTGTGTGTGTGAGTGAGTGTGTGTGTCTGTGTGTGGGGGGAGGTGTGTGTGTCATGATTTGAGTTTGATTACTTTTGAAATACATTTCTTACTATGTTTTAAATTGGTGGCAAATTTTCCGATTCATTCCCTTTCGGTTTTCATTTCTATCACTTACTTTTGCCTTTTTAAAGTAAAAGTTTCTCCGGCTTATAATATATCGGCTTGGTAGACTCCTTTTGCTTCGTTTGATGCCAAAATTGTCTCATATATATGTGTGGGCGTGTGTGTGTGTGTGTGTTGGGGGGGGGGGTATTTATGTGTGTGTGCGTGTTTGGGTGTTGGTGTGTATGTGTGTGTGTTTCTGTTTGTTTGTTTTTGCCGTCTGACTTGCGATTTCTGCCATACTTGACTACAAATTCATTTAGCAAATGAAGGCAAACTGCTCTCTCCAATAACAAAGGTGCAAATGGCGCGAAATAGAGAGACTAATTTCTTGTTTCAAAATAAAACAATAATTCTTAGATTTTTGCGTCGAAAGGAAAAATTATTACTTTTTAGATTAGCAAGCGTTATCAAATGAGAACATGGAAAGTTTTCAAGGCCAAAAAACTTATTTAACAAAGTATCTTGAGTAATTTGGTTAACTCCGTGGTTTCATCAACAAAAATTATGCTTTGAGTTTGACTCCATTTTAAATACATTTTCTACTACATTAATTTTAGTTGGTGGTAAATTTTCCGATTCTGCCTATTTTGGTTTTCGTTTTTATCCCTTATATATGGCTTTGTCGACTCCTTTCGCGTCGTTCGATGACAAAAGTGTTTCATATATATGTGTGGGTGGTGTAGGGTTGTGTGTATGTGTGTGGATGTTTGTTTGCGTGGGCGTGTGTGGGTGTGTGTGTGTGTTTATGTGGGTACGGGTGTGTGTGTGTGTGTGGATGTTTGTTTGGGTGGGCGTGTTTGTGTGTGTTTATGTGGGTGTGTGTGGGTAGGGGCGTGGTTGTGGGTGTGTGGTTGTGTTTGTGTGTGTGTGTGTGTGTGTGTGTGTGGGTATTTGTGTGTGTGAGTGAGTGTGTGTGTCGGTGTATGGGGGTAGGTGTGTTATGATTTGAGTTTGACTACTTTTGAAGTACATTTTTTTCTTTGTTTTTAATTGGTGGTAAATTTTCCGATTCATTCCCTTTCGGTTTTCATTTCTATCACTTATTTTTGCCTTTTTAGAGTAAAAGTTTTTCCGGCTCATAATATATCGGCTTGGTAGACTCCTTTTGCTTCGTTTGATGCCAAAAGTGTCTCATATATATGTGTGGGTGTGTGTGTGTGGGGGGGTATTTATGTGTGTGTGTGCGCGTGTTTGGGTGTTGGTGTGTGTGTGTTTCTGTGTGTTTTTTTTTAGCCGTCTGACTTGCGATTTCTGCCATACTTCACTTCAAATTCATTTAGAAAATGAAGGCAAACTGCTCTCTCCAATAACAAAGGTGCAAATGGCGCGAAATAAAGAGACTAATTTCTGGTTTCAAAATAAAACAATAATTCTTAGATTTTTGCGTCGAAAGGAAAAATTATTGCTTTTAAGATTAGCAAGCGTTATCAAATGAGAACATGGAAAGTTTTCAAGGCCAAAAAACTTATTTAACAAAATATCTTAAGTAATTTGGTCAACTGCGTGGTTTCATCAACATAAATTATGTTTTGAACTTGACTCAATTTTAAATACACTTTCTACTACCTTAATTTTAGTTGGTGGTAAATTTTTCGATTCTGTCTATTTTGGTTTTCGTTTTTATCCCTTATATATGGATTGGTCGACTCCTTTTGCGTCGTTCGATGACAAAAGTGTTTCATATATATGTGTGGGTGTGTGTAGGGGTGTGTGTATGTGTGTGGATGTTTGTTTGGGTGGGCGAGTGTGTGGGTGTGTGTGTTTATGTGGGTATGGGTGTGTGTGTGTGTGGATGTTTGCTTACGTGAGCGTGTTTGTGTGTGTTTATGTGGGTGTGTGTGGATAGGAGCGTGGTTGTGTGTGTGTGGTTGTGTTTGTGTGTGTGTGTGTTGGTGGGTATTTGTGTGTGTGAGTGAGTGTGTGTGTCTGTGTGTGGGGGGAGGTGTGTGTGTCATGATTTGAGTTTGATTACTTTTGAAATACATTTTTTACTATGTTTTAAATTGGTGGCAAATTTTCCGATTCATTCTTTTTCGGTTTTAATTTCTATCACTTATTTTTGCCTTTTTAGAGTAAAAGTTTTTCCGGCTCATAATATATCGGCTTGGTAGACTCCTTTTGCTTCGTTTGATGCCAAAAGTGTCTCATATATATGTGTGGGTGTGTGTGTGTGTGTGTGTGTGTGTGTGGGGGGGGGGGTATTTGTGTGTGTGTGTGCGCGTGTTTGGGTGTTTGTGTGTGTGTGTGTTTCTGTGTGTGGATGTGTGCGGGTGGGTGTTAATGTGGGTGAGGGTGTGTGTGTGTGTGTGTGAAGATGGGTGTGTGTGTGTGTGTGCGTGTGTGTGTGTGGGTGTTTGTTTGTGTTTGGGTGGGTGGGTGTGTGTGGGGGGATGTGTGTTTGTATGTGTGTGTGTGCGTGCGTGCGTGAGTGTGAGTGTGCTTCTCTGTGGGTGCCAGTGTATGTGTATGAGGGTGTGCGTTTATTTCATGGGACTCAGAACTTAGAGTTTTAAAATGTTTGATTGCTCAAACTTTTTAGATTTTTTGAGCTAATTGGTGTTTTTTTTTTTACTAATTGGTGTTTTTGGACTAACGGGTGTCTGCTCAAGTTTTTCGGCTGACCAGCCGCAGTGTAAACTTTAAATGCTAGTTTAACAAAATCAGTTGTGTCGAATAACCTGTTTTCCTCAAAATTAACTTATGCTGAGCAAAACAAATTTATGATAATTGTGGTAGTCTTTCTCGACATTTTTTTTCAAGTTTTTCAACTTTGCGGCTTTCTTTTCATTTTCCGTTTGCTACCTTGCTATATCTTGCTATCCGGTGAAAAAACTTTTCGCCTTGATATAACTTTCAACTTTCATGCGGCCTTGCTCAGGAAACGTATAATCTTGAGAAATTAATTTTTAATTATTAACGCTCAAGACATATTTTTTTAAAAATAAAAATTGAGGTTTGTTTCATCTAGTTATATCAGAAATTGTTTGTTTCCTTTTCAAATTAAACTATCTTGCATTTACCCTTCATGCAGCTGGATATATTGTTCAAAGTTTTATATATAACGGACTTAACAAAATAGGGTTCAAAACAAAACTTTCGAAACATTCGCTTCAAATCTTATTTTTTTTTGTTTTGTTTTACATCATTGTTCTATTTTTGAATATGGCTGCATTAAATCCATTTTTTCATCAAATTAATTAAATCAACAATCCATTAAATCAATATTGAAACATTTTTGCAATAATGAGACTTTTTTTATTGTTGTACTTTTTCTTTTCTATCGTTTTTTTTTTCATTTTTCTGAGTCGATATTTTTAGTCGTTTTTCTGTTAGTTCCATTAGAGAAACTCAAATTCATTCCTTCGAAATTGTTTCCGGATATTGAAAACCATGGTTTCTGTGGCGAACACGATCAAGTTCTGCCTCATATATATTTTTTTAATTTTTGGTTTGTAATTAATGCAGTTTTGTGTGATTCTTCTACGCGGCAAACGTCACAAAATTAGAACCTCTTGAATGTGAACTGTTTGTAGTCTAATCTGCTTCTTAATTTGGCAAGTTTTTATTGTTCCGACTATTGAATGTGGGGAGGAACTTTGTATTCGGGTGTGTTATAATTTTTTCTCTTTTTTTTCAACTTATTGTTTTTCAGGTAAAATCAGGTACCACAAATAATCTTCGGAATTGGTCGAGTGATGTATCATACTAAAGCCCTATCAGTCGTGATTCGAGCAACATTAAAAAAATTTGAAATTTTTTTGCAGTGTTGAGAAAAGCCTGGAAGAAGTTTTTGATTTTTGGTCTAATTTCGAGCTAATATGGCGAGCATGCAGGCTTACAATGGATTTTTTATGTATGCCTAATTTAAGCCCTGAAAAAAGTTTTTTCAAGTAAAGTTAGTTTTTGGAGTTTTTTAGCGCCATTTTGGGAATAAAATTTTGAAAAAAATTCACCAAATTTTTCTATAAAAACTGCCTTCAAATGGGCCTATATTAGTATGACGGTCGAATATGCCTTAGTTTTTTGGCTCAGATCTTTTTCACACCTACGCAGAAAAAGCGACACTAATTTAAATAAACTTTGTTTGTATTTTTTAGGACTATGGTCAGAATTTTTGGTGCTAATTGCACAGTAACCGGCTAGCCATGTTGAATTTGGCATTTTTAAGAAAATCGTTTTTTATTGTTAACATTTTTTCGAAGTTTTTTTTCACAATCAAATAGTCAAAACGACTGATTCCGCCCATTTAGTGGCAAACCTGGGAAAATTTTCCTATTTCTACCGGTAATAGTGTTTCATGAAAATTACCGTTCGTTTTGAAAGTTTTAAAAATATATATTTTTTGGTTTTATCAGTATGTTTAAGCTGGCCGATGAGATGCAAGTGGTGCGAAGCTCAGCTTTGCCTCTGTGTAGATTATCTTTGGATTGTTTCGGCCAACTTAAAAGTTCAGGACTTTTTGTTTCAGCTTCTCGTGCAGTATTGGCGTATGAAGCATGTATAGCCAAGTTCCTCTACCTCTTTTTCGGGGACTATGAGCTGGCCGCTTGTCTATTGAGGTGCTACGTTTCCACTCTACACATCACAAAGGCCAGTGAACAGTGACGAGCATTTGATTGAATATAATTTAAAATACGGAATATTTCCCATTTTCAAATTTTTTCAGACTAGTGTGTTTTCAATCAAACATTTGAGAAGTCGAAAATGGGATTTAACGAACATCGAAAACCAAAGTTTTTTGCAAAAAGTCGAAGAAAGTTTTTTTTGCTAGAATACAACTGGCTAGCGAAATACATTTTAAAATTTATATTTATACACTTATCAGCTTAAGTTCAAATGATCGTGTCTGACAAAGGCGAACACTCTAATCAATGCGCCGGATATAGACGAATTGGAAGCTGATAGTGCGGCCAAGTTACCGAAAATACAAACAAGATTCACGATGCAAGTTAACTCAGTCGCGAAATTGCAATCGGAACATTTTGATCGGACAGCTCTAGAAGCGGAGAATCCATCAATTACTGCGAATCCAGACGAGTACAGAAAAGTAGAAGTTACTGACACGCAAACTGGTTCTAGTGGAACCGAGGATACTGAAAGGTTAATCCGATTTCCCAGTTTGAAAACGTCTCAAGGTAAAATCTCAGACGAAAGAAAGACCGCAGCTGGTTCAAAAGCGACAGAAAAACTTGACTTTACTAGCTCAAATTTATCCAAAAAACTTGATTCAAACACGTGCCGTGTAAAAAACTCGAAATTAAATACATTTATTGATAAAATGTTTAAAGATAAATTATCAACTGGAGAGGAGAAGCTAAAAGATGATGGGAATTCGAAATGGACAAAAATTAATCCCCCTAAAGCGACATCTTTTCAAGAAAGTTTTGACCCTACCTGCGCAAACGCGATAGTTGGTTCAGCTCTTGAAAGTTCGAATAAGAAGCTCGAGCATAAAAAGGCGATAACTTCCAACTACGGCAAAGTGCACTTATCTGAGACAGGAAACGAGACCATGTTGCAATCTGAGAATGAACCAGTGCTTAAGAACGATTCCAAAAAGCTTAAAGATGACCGAGGTGATACTGATTTTAAGAACGACTCGATTGCTTCGCGTTTGCGAGAATCTAGAGCGCGAACTGGATGGTTACAGCGAACAAGCGTCACTGACCAAACGACTGTATCAAGAAATGACAGCAGTATGTCAAGTCAAAATCAAATCGATCCAATTCATCTTGAAAGCAGCTCACAGGGAGGCAAATTATTAAAATACCCGGAAGGTTTTTCCGGAAAAGATCCAGTGAAAATATGCCAAACGGACTCGAAACAAAAAAAAACTGACCACGCACCTCAACCAGCATCATTAGAACCTGGAATTGGAATGAATGCTGTTAAAAAGAGAGCTAAAGAACTGTGCAACATTTTACTCGATTCTAAATCTTTTCCAGTGTCATTTGCCTCTCACAGTTGTGGAAATATAATAGAAAACATTTTGATAGAATCTTGTTTCAAATGTCTTGAAAAACTGAAGTCAGCCAACAATATCGACTTTGAATCAATTAATTTACAAGATTTAGATGGAAGTCTTCTCAAAATTGAGTTTGGTATCAAATCAACTCTAAAAAGTGGAAATGATGGCAGCAAAGCAAAAGATGACAGTAAAAATCATTCCTCGAGAGCCTCGGAGTCTTCTGACGATATTCGGGTTGTTTTCGTTTTGAGTGATGATGATGATGAAGACAGCAACGATCAAAAGTGTGACAAAATTCTGATCGAAAAGCCATCTTCTTCTGCGTCTGTTTATACTAATCATCGGGTTATAAATTACCAATTAACTTTTCATTTTGACATTTTCACGAATGAGATGGGAGCGACTGTCAACTCAATGCCTGTGGTTTGGAAATACAGTCCAAAAAGTGACTCATGGCGTGCGAAATGTCAGATAAGTGAACAAACAGTCGTCAATACAAATGAAAAATGTATGAATCCTTCGGATGCGCTTACGAATCTGCTGATATTTTATACTGAAAATTTTCAGAGTCTGAATAACTGCTGAAAGTAACTCACTATCTCTTTGTATAAACTTGGTGGAGTAAACTTCAGTTAAATTTTTGTTTGATATTCAGTTAGTTAGTTATTGTGATCTTTTCTGTTCAATTTTCACGTTGCTTATTACTGTCGATCAGATATTTCAGAAAGTTTCAGCTATAAGGCCAAAATTCGTTTATAGTCATTCCAGCTCCTTGTTATTGCGAAGCAATTCTCCAGATTGTAAAGCAATGTTTAAGCTCTTGTTACAGCTCAACAATACAGCTGAATACGAGTTAGAATTTTTTTACATTAGTGAAGCTTGTGTTGTGAAAAAAAACAGTTTTTATTTTTTCCGTTGCAGGTCGCAAGTTTGATATGTTTTGTTATGCAAGTTAAGCCCACAGTTTTACCAGTGAAAATTGAATTGCGATTTTCAAGTTTATTGCAATGGGGCTGTCGACTGACTCGCCCATCTTAGCTCGCAGATGATTTTTGCACACATGACTTCAGCTTTAAATTTTAAGTGATTTTTTGCTACTTTTTTGCTGTACTTGCTCAGCGTGGTCACGATGCTCTTTTTTTCTTTGTTTTTTTGGCTCTTGGGTAAACTTTATGAAAAAGTAACACCGTTTCCATTTCCCTAAGACATCTCTAGATTCCGTTTCAGGACAAAATATCCCTTGCCTTCATATCCCAAGCGAAGGTATCCTCTTCAAATATAACCAGCAGTTAGAATAGCCCAGGAAGAAGTAGCCCACGCAAAATAATGTATCCAATCTGAGGAATGATAATTTTTGAAAAAGAGCGTGAAATCTATTTCAGTTCAAAGCGTGAAAGTTGCAACGCACGTTTTGAATCCACCGACTTCTGATTTTTTTTTTTTATTAGCCCCCGCCCTGCTCAGTGCAGGACCAACCGTGGGGGAGGGGGAGATGTCATCCATTTTGCCGCAGCCGGTCCCACCTTGAGGAGGCGGATGACACTGGGACCCCTCCAGCCGTGACCGAAACGTGATCCGACTTTTGATTATCAAAGCTGAAAGCTATGACTTTCTAGGCTCGGGTTCATGACGTTTTTTTTCGGCTCAATTATCGTGTATTATCTTATCTGCTCAGTTACTGCTTACTTTTTGTTTCGCTACAATTTTCGGAGTGTTTTCTTCAAATTGAAACGCATTCGAGACGCATCAAAACAGTTTTTGGTGTTTTTTGATTTTTTACGGAGTGGCTTTCGTCCTATTTTCTTTTCGGCTAGCGGCCGTGCTATTTATTTACACAGTGGCTTCGCCACTGTGTAAATTACTTGATTGTTACTTTTTTAGGTGTATTTGTAATGGCAGTTTCCCTGTATCAACCTCCAGATCCGCTGACGATCGAGCAGTTTCTGTCGCCTTGCAGCATAATCCAAGTGACGCTGTGTCCTCTAGCCTTGAGGAGTTTCACGAAAATGGAGAACATGGGGTCGCCATATGAGGTGGTGGACTCATTGGGTCTGTTTGACGGCGGTCATTACAGAATAGACTACAGTGAGTTCAGGATTTCCAAGCCCAAAAGTGTTGTCTATGGGTGCTTTCTTACTGGCTCCCAACCTGGCTGGATCCGATGCATTGCCTATGGTACGTTTCGGCTACAGATGGAATAACGAGCATTATATTGTCGTGACATAAGATCCGAATAAGAGAAAGTTGTATTAGCTAATCGAAATTGAAATTCAAAAGTCTGCCATGAAGAATGAAGTTTAACGTAGATTCGAAAATTTCTGATGGTCGCATTTTTGTCATGCGAATAGCTTCCAAGGATTAAAATTTTAAAATTTTGATCTTTGAAACGTACATTCTGTTGATTACACTAGCGAGTTTCAGCTTAGTTTATTATTACGAACCTTCTTTTTTCTAACCTAACTCGCAAATAAAAAGACTTCCTTATTTGGAAGTTTCACTGTAGCAATGGAAATTGCATAGCATCTGTTTTCTGCTTTACTTGTGGCGTGTGAGTAGAGTCTATTGAGCCTGCGTGGCTGAGTGTTTATTGTGTGAGACTCTAAATCTCTAGGTCGGACGATTGTGAGAAGTTGCCGTTTTTTTTTTTACTAATTCGAGGTTTATTTCTTTTTCTGATTGCATTTCATACAGGTGTTTTTTGTCGTGTTCTCGCTTAAATTTGCGAAGCTTCGCTTCTCTGTTAAATATGGATTACTCTGGAAAACCTTATTTCAACAAGCAGTAAATTTCACCATTTTTTTCACATGAAACGTGCGGATGCTTACAATTTCATTCACGAATTTGCTTTTGAACATCATATTTTTATGCATAATTTAATGATCCGTTTATTTTTTTTCAACACTGCCGATTCAAAAGTTGATTTTGGTTTTTCGATACAGGTTCGACTCAAGAAGCCGCTTTGAATGCCTGTTGTGCCCAGCTAATTGCAATCTGCTCTCAGAAACCAGTGTTAGCCACCAACCTTCTGAGGAGCTATCAAACTTCTCAGAATGGAAAGTTCCAATTGTTCAGTCAGCCTTGTCTGGTTGCAGCTCCTGATACATCAGTGTCGTTGACGACTCCCTTGAACGAATCAGAACTGGCAAATCAAGATGTAAGTGTCTTGGAACAATCAAGGATTTCAGAGAGTCAAGAGGAGCCCCAGTTGAAGAAAGTAAAAGTAGAACCCGGCATCATTGACCCAAACTACATGTGTTCAACTCCTATTGATAAGAATCAAATTTCTAATAGCGAATCCTCTGCGAGGACCAAAATATCTGATGATCATGTGAAAGATTCTATGCTCTGTAGCGATAATCATGGTGTTGAAAAGGAGTCGACCAGTGAGTTCAATAACGATGGTTTGACTCAAAGCATGGAAGCTCACAAAAATGGAGGTTGGTTTGATTTTTATACTACTATCATTATAGGGTTTGTGGAATAAAAGCAATAAGAATCATACAATTTTTATAATATATTAAGTTCGAAAGCGTTTTGTTTAGATTCCAAGATTGGCCGCGAGCGGAAAACGTTGAAAAATGTCTCAATTGATCAGTTTTTTGACATGGATCCGAAGTTTTCGCCAAAGTGTACCAATCTAAATGACCGAGGGAGACGTTTCATCGAAACAAGCCTGGAGAAAGGCAACTTCTTGACCCCTTCGAATGCCATGTCTTACGTTGCGACTCAGAAATTTACGCATGTGCATATGCAGTTCGAAAGCAAAGATGGTCAGATCATGTATCTCTTTGGCTTGACCGCATACACGCGAAATCGCCGAACTGTTCGAACTATCGCATTTGGTAATCAGAACTTATATAATATTCTATTGAGCATTTTGGCACTTGATTTCCTACGCAAAAGTTTCATATTAAATACAATACGTTTCAGTCGTGATTCAAGCCTTCATAAAAGTTCCGCAAAAGTGTCACTTCTTTGTGTCAAAATTTTCTGGAGTTGATATAAAGTTGCACTCCAACTATGCAATATACATTAATGAAAGAGACTACCTTGTTTCTTACGTTAATTGAGCAAACAAAGAGGTCCTGAAGCTTGGATGAGCGCTCTTCGTCGACACGTAAAGAGAAGCATTGATAAACTCGCAAAATAATTTTGACAAAAAAAAAATCATTTTTTTTCTAATGAAAATTACTATTGTCGGAACATTTTGTGCAACTTGAGCAGCTTTATGAAGTTTGATTGGCCTTAATCTATTTCTTGTAATCGATTACTTTTTTCAGTATTTTGATTTTTTTACCCGTAGCTGAACCGCATACTAATCTAAATATTCCATTCACAGTGCTATTTATTTTTTCATATTTCTTTCATGCTACCTTGACCGTGAATATTGTCACGGTAGTATGAAGGAACTATCAAAATGTATTAAGCACTGTGACGGGAATATGAACTGATTTAGATAAATCTTCAGGTAGGGGTAATTCTTTTTTAATTAGGACAAAAATTCTTGGATGTACGGCTAAGTGGGTCGCTGTCTTTTCAGGTGCAACTTGAACGTTGTTTCTCCAAAATTTTCGAGCAGGTGTGTGTGTTAGGAGCCTTTCTTTGATCGGGAGACGCCACATGGCGTCCTGTAAGCCGTGCAAAGCGGAAGACTCCCGCCGGGTTGGTCTGTAGGCAGATGATATCTTCGTTTTCTCCCATGTTCTTTTTTCTTCTGTTCAGGCTGTGCATCTTATCAGGAAGTGCTCCGATGTTTCTTCTTCGACTTCGCAGTACTCGCAGGTTGGGTCATCTGAGTATGCGAACCGGTGCTGGGTCTGAAGGAGGAAAGATGCTATGTTTGCTCACAGTTTGAAGAGCATGACCTCTTCTTGTCTCGAGCAGTTCACTGAGCGCTCCAGCGGTCTGCCTCCCGAGGCTTGGCGGTGAGTTGAGAACTCGGGGGCGTTCTCGTTATTGTGTTGGACTTGTCTTTACGCTGGGCAACCAAATACTCGAAGACGATTCCCCTTCGGATCTGGTCGAGTCGTCTTCTGGCCATGGTGGGCCAGTCTTGGCGGAAGGACTGCTCTCCTCTTGATCTGAGTCTGGGTCTTGTCAGGTTGTGCAGGTGGTGTTCTTCCGGGTATCTTCTGTACCTGTCCCACAGCATCGCGGCACGATCTTCTATCTCCTGGTAAATAGGCCGGAGGCGCGCGTCTGTCAAAGTTGCCGAGGAAGGAGTGTCTGTCGGGGTACCAGTGATAACTCGGCTCGCCCGTTTGTTGGCAACCTCGATGAGTTGGAGGTTAGACTTTGCCAGGAACGGTCTCCAGATGTCGATAGCGTAGAGTCCACCGGGTGGGCGCCCGCGTCTGCTGCTCACTTCTTCAGGCGTTTTGTCACCATACTCTTCATTACCTTAGACATGCAGGCCAGCAAGGAGTCAGGATGGTAGCTTTTAATCTGATAGGCGAGCTTCCCGTTCTTCAGGATCCGCACAAAGACGGCATTACGACAAGAACCCGGGATGCGGCCCTGTGACCAGCTGTTGATGATGTCCAAGAGCTTTTCCTGGGCAGCCTCTGGGAGATTCTTGATCATCTCCGTTGAGATCTTGTTTTGGCCTGCGGCGCTCCTCTTCATGCTGCGGACCACGGTTGTCAGTTCGTCCAGAGTGAAAGGGCTACCTGTCCCGTCTTCCGTGTCTAGATCTTCCTGCAGTCTCCTCCGTACTTCAAGGTAAGCCTCTTTCTGCTTTGTCTTTGGACCGGGACGCGGCTGACCTCGGCGTAGGTCGTGCCTGCTGGCTCCGCCTTCTGCTTAAGGGTGTTGGCCACTTTGCTGCCTTCTGAGATAGCGGACTCGGGGAGGGGCTGTCTTTTGCGGCCATCGAAGCCCTTGAGGGTGGCACAGACTTTTGTGCTAGGGACTCTCGGATCGAGAGTGCTTGCATACTCCTTCCAGGCTTTAGATTTTCCGTCGCGGATCACTTCATCCAAGTTCTTCTTCACCCGGTCCAGCTGGGTTGCGGAATCGTTTGACGGAGAGAGCTTCCAGTGGCTGAACTTCTTCTGGTATCTAGACCTAGCCTGGGCGCAGTTTCGAGTAAGTTGTTGTGTAACCGCTTCGAGGTTTCGTCGTTTTTCTAGCCTCGTAGTTAAGCACAATTTGGCTTGTTTTCGAGATTTTTTTAATAACTTTAATTCAAAAAAAAAACATGGAAAGGTAAACATTTGTAGACGCTTGCTATTAAGGTAAAAGCTGATAAATTGTGTGGCGACTGATTAGGACCAGTACTTTTCCAGGATTGGAGACTAATATTTCTTCGTACTCGTTCAAAAAGAATGCAACTTCTTGCTATTTAGAGTTTACGTGCCTTTGATAATTACTGTGACTTACTAATGGGGAGAAAATTGTGAAAGAATAAATTTTTCTATCATTCTACTTATTTTAGTTTTCTCTAAACGAACTTAAATGTTAATGGTTAATCATTTTTTGGGACGCGAAACTTAGTACGAACGAGGGAAAATCGATGTAATTCGAGGGAAAACTTAGTACGAACGAGGGAAAATCGATGGAACGAGGGAAAATCGATGTAATCGTATATTGGAAATCGATATAATTTTAAGATTCAACTCAGCAGATTGATAAGGCAAGCTCTGCTTTTCCTGATTAGGAAGAAAGATAAAAGAAAGAAAATTACATCAAGGTTTCTCTGGTTACCTATTTCTCCTATGATGTAATGCCCGCCCAAGTTAAGTTTAATTCGTTTTCAGTGCGAATGGTAGAGGCGGTGAGAGGTCGTTGTACGAGTCCGGTCCTTAATACGCGGTTGGTAATGGACATTGGAGAAAAGGAAGGCTCTCGGTTGGTAATGGACATTGGAGAATGGACATTGGAAGAAAAGGAAGGTTGGTAATGGACATTGGAGAAAAGGAAGGTTATTGCAGCTTGGGTTTCCTGAGGGATATAATTTAGGGAAAGGTTTTGTGGCAGGAACCGATAATGTGGCTGTTAAGAGAAGAGTTTGCTAATGGAATTTTTTCCGACATGGACTTAATGATATGTATTTTGCATTTTAACAATAAGAAGCCATTGGTGCTCTGTTTGCGTTGATTTGATTATTTTTCGATCTCAATTTGACTCCTTATTCATGACTCATTGGTGAAAACCAACTAAATGAGTAGTTTTTTTTTATAGAACGTGATTTTTCTTTTGTTGCAAAAGCTTCTGTCTTTTTAAAGCTTTTATGCCGGACTCATATTGGCTTATGTGTTTTAATTTTGAACGAAGTCTGGTTAAAGATGAAACGGAAAATTAAAAAGTCAATCTCATCAATACAAGTTTTCGGTTGATGTTCCAGATGAGTTTTCGTTTGAGGTGGTTTTGAGGAATTGCTTGTTTCTCCAATGTCTCGTGGCAAAGGGCAACCATATCGAAAAAAAAGAAGTTTTGTGCCACGTTCCTCTGCTATGATATGACGGGAGCAAGTCAAGTATGGTTTTCGTGATTCTGCGTTCTATAAATAAATGCGTTGGACTAAGTGATTTTCGAGCTTCAACCAGTCCTCTTAAGTTTCTTCAGTAAACGCTGAGATTGAAATATAAGCTAAAGTTGGTGCTGTCCTAAAAGAATTTTTAATTAGGAGGAAATTTGCTGTTGCAATCAGCTTGTTAGCATTTTTTAGGATGCAGCAGTTACGAGGTTTGAAAGTTTATTCAAAAGGAATTAAGAGTTTGTATAGTGTTGCAATTTTTAAAATGTTTAATAGAAGAAGGAATTACTTTTTTTATAACAATTGTAATTATTCGATATTAATGAGCTGATAAATAAAAATGATTATTATTTCAGCAAAGTAAGGGATAGTATTTACGCCTAATAGTATTCGATTGCAAGCTGTTCTAAAAACTTTGAAGTAGTTTCAATCTGTTTTAACAAAAGATTTTAGTACCAATTAGAAAATTGCAAAAGAAATGCCACCATCTCTGTCGCCATATGATAACGTCCTATCATCTTTAAGGTCATATTTTTTCTTCGAAATTCGAAGTTCAAGCTTTTTTCAAAAAACAATTCAGTGACTCTTTTTAATATAATTTCACAGCTTCTCGCGGATTGAAAGAGTTAGGACGTCGCCAATAAAATTTCACTGTGTACAAAAAGTAAAGCTGTAATAGTCTCAATATAATCTATCACCAATGTTTCGCAGGCCCAGGAAACAATATGTAAACTTTTTTGGTTAAATGGCTGAATAACTAAAAAAAAGTTTTCTTGATTAATGAAGAAAAGCGTTTCAGCTAACCATCCTTCATTGGCGAGGTCCGCTTGCTATGCCAAGATGTTCTATCTGTACTTCGATGAACGGCACTTACCGACTGAACTTCTGCGAATACATTGGGTCTCTTTGAATGGCCGGGGCAGGTGGGTTCTCCATGCTTTGCCGGAAGAAGTTGTCGTGGACGCGAGTCTAGCCGGGAAGTTTTCACAAACATTGTGCTCTCATGGAGTAGAAACTGAATGCAAAATAGAATTGAAAACGAATCTATATAGAGCGAACGTTTCTGGGGACCATGAGGAAAATATACACGTTGAAGATACAGAAAGAACTTCCATGGAGGAAAAGGGTAAAAACAGTTTTACTTTATGCTCTGAGACTATATGCTTTGGTTATTTTGGTTATATATAATTACCTTTACTTTCTGTCCCGTAAATAACTTTATTCACAGAATGGTAAAAATTAGAAATAGTAAATTTAGGTTCTGTTCATAATGAATTCAAATTTCTCTGCGTCTCCGGAACACTTGGTTCAGAGACAACGAATACGCGTGGCACGGCAAAGATGCTTGGTTCGAATCTGACAGGAGCTGGTTTTTTTTCAAACGGAAGTACACCATTTTTTTTTTTGAAAAAATGGCGGCTTCTTATTTGTCGGCTTATGTTTTATCGGCTTAGCTGCCACGTCGTAAAATTGTTTTTTTTTTGTTTTACGCAATTCACATTGTAGATGCTGTAAGTGTTTTGATTTACTTCTGCTGTTTGTAATTTTGTGAAATCGTATTTTTTCTTTGTTTTAGTTTTTTTCTACCCAGCTTAAAAGCTTTATTCTCCCCCAATAATTTCGATTTATTTTTTATCGGCTTAGTGACATAATTTTGAGGCGTGTTAAGGAAAACATACATTTTATGCTGACTGGATTGCACAAATTGCTAAAATCTTAATAGAAATTGCAGTTCAACTTTTTAATACATTTTTTGGCTTTTTTTTTACTTTTTCTTCGGCATGATAGGTTGCTGCCTATACTATATCGACTTAATGGCCTCATAGTTCGTCTTTTGGCGAATGAAACAATGGGTGGTGCGTGTGTATTTTAAGAGCAAGGAGGGCTTGATAATTTTTTAGTCGTAATTTTTTTTTTTGATTTTTTTCGGCTTTTATGCTTAATTTATGGTTCTTTTTTTTCCGGCTCATTAGGTTTCGGCCTATATTATCTCGTCTTAATGGCCTCAAAGTGCGTCTTTTGACGAGCGAAACAAAACTTGTTTGTGAGTGTGTGTATGTTAGGGGCGAGGTGGGTTTAAACGTGTTTTTTTTTGTTTTATTTGACGAGCAAATAAAGTTGTGTGCGTGCCGGTTTTGAGGGTGTTGGGGACTTCTTAACTTTTTATGTTAAGTTTGTTGATTTTTTCTGCTGATGTATTTTTGGCTTTGTTACAGCTTGGTAAGTCTTCTTCCGATGCGAATTTCACATTATATTGTCTTGGCATGTTTTTGTTTGAAAATAGCCTGATTTATTTCGATAGATCTAATTTTTTAACATTTTCGATTTTTTTGCCGACTTAGCTGCTTGCTGGTTTTGCATCGCAAGTGGTGCGAAGCGCATCTTCGCCCACTGTATAAATTATGCATTTCAATCAGTTATTGAAACCAAGTGTTACTTCGGTGTCAGAGGGTGTTTGTGAAACAAGCTTTTTATTATTTTACTGGTTGTTTTAGTAACCGGAATCACGACACATGAAAAATCTCCCGAAAGCCAGGTCATTAGCTTCGAAGAATATCTGGATATCAATCCGGCTTTTCGTGAAGAAAAGCACTTGCCTTTAAGTAACAAAGGCAGAATATATATAAATGCCAGAATTAGCGAGGGTTATAGCACAATTGGTCCAAAAGGAAAATGGTTGTTTCCTTCTCTGATTAAAGAGAACTTTCGACTGTGTACGATCAACAAAAGCAGTGTGTTCGCTGCCTTTTCATCTGCCTCAAATTCTTTAACTATGGCATTCAGTAAGTTTTTCACATTTTTTTTGATCGGTAGGCTCCCTGAGGGTACGAAAAGATAGTTAAGAGAAGATCTGTATGTTTCCACCCAAATACAGATATTCTGGTCTGGTGACCTCATAACTAAAGTAAATATATTGAGTCTGATTCATTACAGAAATGGCATTATGGTTTCCAGGGAAAAGAAAAGAAGTATTGGAAATGGTTAATGAAAATTGCAAAACGATGTAATATCTTTTTAACATAAATTCAAGGCTTTTAGATAGTTTAAAAAAATCCGTGCAAACTGTATGATTTAGTCGAAATAAGCTTGCAAAAATGACGACATGAGAGTAAAGTAATCTGCCACCCACAGTCCTAATTTGCTCCTTAATGTACATATCTTAACCATGCCTGTTTAAGGTAACAATAGTAAAACGGCTGCTTGTGCAAGTATAGCGAAATTGATGTACGTTATCTACGGCGAGCGCCAACTAGCAGTATCATTCTTCCAGAACCATTGGCGGCAACCACTGAAACGCTCATCTTTTTTATACGATAAACCAAATCTTAATATGCTGACATGTCGCAGTCGTACTGTTTTGCATAGATTCCAAAAAATGTTTGGTTTTACTATCGGCTGTATATCAAAACGTTCTAGTGTCAACAGCACACGAGACAATGACGATGAACATTTTGGTCAGGGTAACCATGACTGCAAACCAAACCCGTTTTGCGCTCTGAATGATTCTTTTCAAAGCGTTTCATCCAATCAAACAAAAAACAACGAATTTGATAACTTAACAACTAGTCAAACAGGTGCAGTTGAAAAAACACATGTCGATGACCCTGGCATCATTACCGTTGATGATTCGGAGGACGAACATAGTGAGCTCGTTGGACTATTTTCAACTCAAAAGCCAGAAATAAAGAACTCAAACTCAATGGATGTCATCACGAAAAGCGGGAAACGAAAGCTGGTGAGCTACTCTAATGCCGACCTACTCCCGTGCTCCAAGCGTCTTAAGAATTTGATGACTGGAAACGAGACGTTGAAATATGAACTTGAGTTGATCAAAGAAAACGTGAAGCAAACTAAGCTCTCATTAAATAACGATGGACAAAGAAAAGCTGGAAATAAAACTAAAATTATTGAAAAACGTCTGAAGGGCCTCCAAGAATCTATTTGCTGCAACAATTTAGAGCTTTCAGTTGAAAATAATCTAGTTTCAAAGGAATTCGTTGTTACCCTAACAGTCAATGGCACGTTCAAGTTTTCAGACAAATTTGAAAGCTTCGATAATTTTTCGCCGCAATTTTGCAAAACATTGAAAAGGACCAAAAGGTTCGTCAAATTGCTGGAGGAAGCAACTGATGCTCCTCTGATTCCCGAAGAAATGTCTGAAAATGTTCCTTTTCTCGCGAATATTCTTCAAAAAAGTGCAGGCGTTGATGTCGATTTGCTGCCGGTGACTTACAAGTACAATTCTAAGCACGGAAAATGGCGGGCTTTTTTGGAAACAAAAGATCAAATTTTGAAGTCAGAACTGAAATTGACGAAACAGGACTCAGCGAAAAGACTTTTGTTGCCATATATGACTGACATTCTTGGTTTTCAAGTTGTATAATACTTATTTCAATGATTTTGTCGTCGATTAATGATTCGTTCTTTTTTTTAACAGTCTAATTTTTTTAAAGATTAGGTAAAATTGAAGATACTGATTTTCGCACTAGTTTTTAAACTCACTTGGCAAAAATTTTTGTAGTATCGAGTCAATAAAAACATTGAAGATAAGACAGTGATGATTCAAAAAAGCACTACCATTTTTTGAAAATGTTTTAACATGTTGAGCGGTTTGCTGGCATCAATGCAAAATCGAGCTAAAATATTAGTCAATTTTCAAGAACAGCGAAGTATTCAGGGGATAGAATTCGGAAAAAGAGTTTTGTTTTTTGGCTTGAAAGACATTCAAACTGCAGCGGAGGGATCAAATGTGGTTTTCAAGTGGATATGATTTTTAGAAAACTCCAATTACCCCTAATTATTTTGTCGGAGAAGCCTATTGTTCTGACCAGTCCATGATGAGAATGAGCTACGGTATATGATTCAATTTTTGTCACGCAGTCAAGTATATCCCAACAAATTTCTGATGTAAATGAACGTGATTTTTACACAAGGTTTTTATCGCAAAAAAACTATTCATCTCAATGAAAATTTCTTAGATTTACTCGGACTTATGTGGCGGGCAACTTATTTGAACAGAATTGGCAAAAAAAAGTTAATAAAGGTGTGATGATTGTTTTTTTTTTTCAAATGTCCAATTTCAGCCAGAATAACATTTTTGAACTGGTATAGGTTATGATTTTGTTGTTTTTGACCATTTACTTTTCTACTTCCTTCTACAAGCTATCAAATAATTAGAATTGTAGAGAATTCAATTTTACTATGCAAAATCTTGAAATTTTTTCAATAATTTTTTTAGAAATCTGGATAACTCCCCTTCAAAATTGAATATTAACAAACATCACTATAATATAACCATTAAAATTATTTCGGGCTAATACATGTATTTTTTCAGTATAAAATCTCATTTACAACCATTAAAAATTTGCCTGAAATACACTCATGAAGAGTTTAGACTTGTCCGAGCGGAAAAACTGAAAGGTATTCTCATCCGGTATCGACCAAAACTCAAAGACGTACGAATTATCTTGCAAAATGAAGAAAGAACTAATAGAAAAAATAACATACTAAAACCATACTAACAATACTAATTTTCTAGCTATTTTTGTGCTCATTAGATCTTTCTTGTTCAAAGAAAAGTTATTCAAGAAAAGGTTGTTGTATCTGTTCGATGATGTTTTTGGACGTTTTCGTGGACTATTTGCACTATTTAAAGTGAACTCACCGCAAACAATCCGCGTTGAATCAGGAAGAGTAATTTTGTTCCAAATGTGTTTCCAGTGTCATAATAATTTGTTTTTTTTTAAAACCGACCTAGGTTGTATGTAAGCTATATTATAAACTAAATGTTTGCTTTTGCTTAGATCTGTATAGAGTAAATTTATAATTTACATTCAAAGTCGAAATACATTCAAAGAATATTATTTTGTTTGGTCTCTTGAAATTATAATAAAGTTGTTTCATGACAATTTGTTTCATGAAAAGCACCATATATTAAAACACCAGACTGAATAATAGGCGGCTCGCAAATGTTTTAAATACATGTAAAAACTAGTTCTTGTTTGAAAGTTTTATTATTTTGTAGATTAAGCCGCAAAATCGTTCACTTTTTCCTGACTTTGGAAAACTTTTTCCTAACAATAGAATACAAAACTCAATTTACTGTTTTTTGTGATTCCTAATTACTTAATTGTTTTTCCGTTTTCAGCATCAGTTTGGTTCATCCCCTTTTCAAAAGCATTTTCTGTTTTTTTCGAAATTCATTGTTTTTTTTTGTTTTCATATCTGTAATGAGGAAGAGCTTTTATTTCAGCTTATTTTCAGTTTCTTGTTGTGAAGTTTACTTATCTTGAGCTAATGAGTCATTCGATGCTGAAGTTATAGTTCTGTATTTTGTAATTTTTATAGTTTTAGAGTGAATTTCTATTTTTTTGAAGTTGTTCGACTTAACATCTTTTAAATTGTTTTTCAAGCAAATTCCAACGCCTCCACATCTTCTTTCCAATGACAACCTATCTTACTACTATGTAAATTGCTGATTTCCTAAATAATTTTACTGTTCAGCTAATACTTTTTAATTTTGGACTTTATCGCTTTCCCAGCTAAATTTTTGGTTGGTTGCTGTTTAAACTTTTTTATTAGCCTTGAAGGTTGTTACTTCAAATATTTCAACCATATTTTCTAAGGCGTCCACACTGCACAATTAAAATTTCTCAAACTCATTTTTTTGCTTGTTTTTCGTACATATGAGCTAGTTATTTTGCTTAACTCCACTCTAATTTCAAGTCTGCCAATGAATATGAAAATCTGAAAAAGTGTTCAACCATTGTTTCATGATGAAAGTTATCGGAATATTGAAAAATAGAAGCACAGAAAGCAAACGGATTGTCGAATTCTGAGCTAGCTTTTACCGGGTAACAAAAACAACCCGATAACCACGGGTTCCATCTAATGGATTGAGAACATTTTCATTATATACCGTTTTAGATTTGCATAATCTTTTGTAGAAAAAAGTTTTCCGACTGAACCAGAATATTAATTTTTGTGTATTGAAGAATATCGCTTTGCAGAGTATCCGGCGTTTGATATAAAACATTTCTAAAACGGAAAATGAAACAAAATGCAAATCTGGCAGTCAAGGAGTTACACGATTCAATCGCTAGTTTTATTAGGATGTTTATAAAACATGTAATAAAAATTGTTATCAGGCTCACAAATTTGTAGTTTAATATTCGATATTGGTAATACTATATCCCAGAGTGAAGCCTGAGAGAACGTCTTTAGACCAACTGGTCCGCTTTTTAAACTTCTCTGAGCGGAAAAAATGCAAAAAAAAAGATATCTGTATAAATCGAAAAAGAAGATAGAAATTACCCTGCTGATAAACAAAATACTCTTTGAAGTTGAAAACAAAGGAAACAAAGTAGTTTACGTTTTTGTTAAGTTTTTCAAATCAAAAACATGAATATCAGATTGGTCACATCAGTTGAATAGAAGATTTGCCAAACCATGATCGCCTACTAGGAATTGTCCAAAAGTTGTGATTTATTGAATAAATTTTTGTTGTTGAGGCATTAAATGTTCTTGCTTTTTAAAATAAGTTTGATGTCGGAGTGAGGCAATAAAATTTTTCATAATTTTTTTCGGTTATTAAATTTTCGTGTTCTTGTGAACACTTGTACTTGCCTGTCCAGCAGTTATTCTTTTATTGCTTGCCTTATTGAGATCTTCAGACGAAGTTATGTTTCTTAGCATATCGGCAGAGATCTAACTTGTTTGTTTAATGTGTTAAGCAGTTCATAGAGATGTGAATCAGTAGCTTTGAAGAAATGATGATACTAAGTTAAACGCTTGAGAGTATCAATTTTTTCCTGTGAAATCATAATCTGTGCAGTCTTCTAGCAGTCTGAATAAAAAGTTTGATTCTAATAATGTTCTTCGAGCCATAAATTGTCACGCCGCATTGAACTACATAATAAACATAAATTTCATGAACTTGTCTAGTTTGTGATAATGGTAAAACCTTGTGCAGCTGATAGAACATGCCGCGTGTTTTTTTTTCTTAGGATTTTCTGTGTAACTATTGAAATTGAGATCAGAGTCAATTTTGATGACTAAATACTCAAATTGATTTTTACTTTTAATCACTGCTCGTCTCATTGGAAACCCAAATTTTTTTGACCATTTTTAACGAAACCACTGAATTCAAGTTTTGTTTTATTGTTTTTATTCCTTCTGTTTTCAATTTTCTCTTCAAGTTTTTCCCCTATTAAAAAATTACTGAAAATCTTCACCTTCAATTCATCTATGGCTTGTCGCTGTTTTCAATTTTGTTTCAAGCCAAATTGCGAAAAAAATTTCAAAATATTCCTTTTTTCTTTTTTTTATTTATTTATCTAATATCTGTTGATAAAAACTACGTTTTTGATTTTTAGGAGGTTTTTCTTTTTTTTATCATGTTTTTGTAATTAACTTTAGTTTCGCTTGACTTCTCTTTCTAAGTAAACTTGCCTAAGTGTATTCTTGTTAGCAGCAGTTTTTATAACTTGGTTATCAATCCAAGTCTTTCAGATTGTTTTTTGGCCGGGTTCTCAGGGAGAAACTCATTAAGTTCAATTGTAAGGATACTCTGAAATTTTTTGAACGCAGTTTCGCAGTCAATTGAAGTTGTTTCTCGGTTAAGAACCTTCAGCTTCTTTCTTAATTTTTCACTGAGGTTTATCGCGAAAAAACAGTTTCCGTGTTTTTTCCATTTTCTGTATCTAAACTGGTTCAGACTGTTCTCTTGCATTTGATTCAGTTTCAAAAGCTACTGTGTAATGGTCACTTGTTGCTGTTTTCATGACACTCGTGAACCTTTCTTAGTTTAAAAGACAAGAATTCAAAAAAATTTAGTATTTAGATCCTTCTCTTTAAGTTATATCACAATAAAAACTTCAGAACTCCAAACTATTTTGTGCCGAACCGTTAAATTTTTATTGAATTCGCCGCAAATAATTTGCTTAGTAGATAGGGTAATGACTAGGACTTATCAACTGAACTATGTGGATTATTAACGCACAAGAAACAGGTCTCCGGAGAGTCCTGTAAACAGTTGATGGTGTATTTTTGAATATTGTTGTATTTTGTTTTGAAGAAAGTTTCATACTTTAAGTCTTCACTCAGAGACACTCTAAAATCACTCCTCATTTTTATCAAAAGCAATCAATAAACTTAAAATAACCTTTTATTGAGACAACTTTTGTAACTTGTGGTTGTTTAATCACATTTGTGGTTGTTTAAAGTGCCCATTAGATGTTTCCCTATGATCTTTGTCACTTTCTGAAGAAACTAAAAGAAAAAACGGTGCTAGTCATGTGTTTTTGTGCATAACTGAAGCTAAAAAATGCCAATCTAAAGGAAAAACTCTCATATCTGACTTTAGCAGAAAACAATTTGTATAAGCCGATCAATAGATGAAACCCCGTCTGAACCTCTTTTATCATGAAGTCATAGCAGGTTGCGACAGCTTGTGAACTCTCT